TAGAAGCCAAGTCTAGCTCACAAGAAAAGTCTCAGAACACAAAAGCCTGATGATGAATGAAAGGATCAAAGTGTGACAGTTTCAAGACTCATAACTTTGCACGCACACTCCACTTTTGCCAGCCCACTGCTCCCTAAGACTCACAATTACAATGTAAATCACAGAAACGTTTCTCTTTAAACTCATCACAGAAAGTCTATTGAGTCTGTGATTAACCTTGTCATATTTACAGAATTTATTCCAAGGGCACTATAAAACTATGGGATGCATATGCAATCCTTATCATGTGGGTTCCTCCTCATGAACTCCATCCATCTACAAATAAATGGAATGGGGTGGTCTTCTTGGAATTGGACCTTCCAATTTCCTACAGTAGGACAGAAGGCAGAGACCACACTCCTTAAAAAGCACACAGGCTTGTGATTTAAAAATTTGAGAAACTGTGACACCTAAGAGAAACTGCTAGTTCTCCATTTCCTAAAGAGGAATGGACATGCGCTACCAGTTCTGTACTTTTATTTAAAAACCTAACAGTGCAAATTAAAATGAAGAGCAAAACCCTGGGCTCTGAAAGCCTCAACAGATGTTTTGACTGTCTTCTCTGGAATTCAAGACTAGGGCTGCCAACGTTCCTGACCTTATAAACAGACAGGGGTGAATTGTCCATGAACTTCTAAAAATACAGGAGAAGGAATCTAATTTTAGGCATTGTGGTCCAACATGTTTACATTAGGATTTCACATGTAATCAATGATGGAAAAATGCTCTGGCTTGTCCTTTGTCTATGGATAAATCTTTGGTATTGAACTCCAGTGCTATGAAAATTCTCTTTGCCTTAACTTTATTATTGAAAGAGCCCTTTTAAGCACTGCAATCTCTTAATACGGGTGAGAAAGGGCTGTAAAACAAAGTGTCTTTAAGAGTGGCTTGGTTAAGAAGACATGAAACCCTCTTTGTAAAGGGCATCTTATAAAAGGCAGCTTACAGGATAACTGTAAGGTCCTTTGGACAGGAAATCTCTAATTCAAACCAGCAGTTCATGTTAGCTGCCAAAAGAAGCCCAAGAGAGGAGATACCCAGATTTCATGCCCTTCCTCACAAACCCTGGTCTTTTATTTTAGGAATTCATCCCAGCATTAGGCTTTGGGAACATCTACATTAGTAGTTTTCTACTTTTGCCCCAAGGCTTGAGACTTTTCATTACTTCTCTCCTGCTCAAAAAAATCCCAGTTCCGTTTGGAAGAACATTTAGGCATGGGGACCCTATGGGGATGCAGAGCCCAGCAGAAGAGATGCCAGACACTCCCCCCTACTTTGCCCTGCAATGACGTTTCACTCGCCAGCATCTGCCACAGATGAGGCACCAGAGCTTAGGCTGAGCAATCACGTACTCCCTGCAAACACCAAGACTGATACAGTGAACACAAGCACCTTTAACAGTGATGTTCAGTCGCAGCTTCTCTGTTCAAAAGGGGACTCGGAGAACACAGGAGGGCTCCTTCATTTCTCTCTTCCGTACTCTCATTGAGCAAGCCCATCAGCATCAATGCCCTCCTCATCATGTCAGAATAAACAAAGCTGCTTCTTGTGACCTGGCTTTGCTCAAGTCATTAAACCAAATGCCTTTACAGGTTAAGTAAGCTCACAGTGACACTGCTCTCTTACAGCATTAAAGGTGCCAGCAGGAGCAAGGAGTCAGTGCTTTCTGGAATAACCAAGCCAAGAAGCCTCTGCAGTTTCAGCTGTGACCATCTCAGTGACTCCAAGCAAAGATATACCTATGGTAATGCGGTGCTGGAGAAAATGAAAGCCAGCCATTCTCCGCCTCCTGAATATAACTCTGTTGTCCATTATTCTCAAACACCTGTTTAAGTACTTTTCTAGGCCAAGATCTAAATATGCATTTAATCCAAAAAGGTTCTTATGAAAAACTGTCAGTTTAAGAACTTTGACCCAAATTATGTTAATTATTATAAAATTTAGGAGGTTATCATTGGCTTAATCACAGTGATCTACTTTTCTACAGACCACAACAAACGTATTCAAAATACAGCAACATACTATTGCTTAGGCCTCGACTTTCCCAAATGCTCAAAACCAACAGCTGCTAAAAATGCCCCATGCTTCTGCATCCAGGAAAACCTGGATGGCCATTTATTACACAGAAAACTAGTTCACTGTTTGGTTCCTGGCAGCACAATGGCATTTCATGCTCTTGTCTCCAACCCTCTGCTCAGGCCCAGGTGCAGCACTGCTGTCCCAGTCAGGAGAGGCAGCTGGGAGCCCTAGAGAGCCAGGAGCCTGCATCAGGCACTAAGGCATTCATATCCCATTGCTGAGTTATGTGTAGTGCTGGAAAATAAAAGGATTCTTTAACAAGGTAGAAACAAGAAACAGACCACAAGCTACATTTTCAAGGAAAATTACTTTGAGAAACTTGAGGGAAGGCTGATGCTCTGGGGAAGCCAAATTGGCTATTTGGGAATGGGGCATTTAGATGGATCTTACTTCTTCAGATGGCACGTGTGGTAGGGAGCCTTGCGAGGCAAGAATTTAAAATGTGTTGCTAAACACAATGGGCAGAGAAAGCACAAAGGACAGAGAAGAACTAAGACCAGAGCCAGGGCTGCAACAACAGGGAATACATATCAATTCAGTTTGGATAAGCCTGCTGAAATGAAGTAAATATTCTTGAAGTTCTGCACTTTGTTAATATGCCAACACGCACAAACTGGAACCAAACCACAAACTAGATATGTTAAAGCCAAGCTCTGTCCACAAAAACCTTGTGGACCTTCTAACACTGCACTGATTGTATTTTATTTATGGGAATCTGTCTGAAAAGACAGGATGGCTACTAAACTGCATATACTTTAAATTAATTCATTGCTAGAGAGTTTGAAGACATCAGTTAGAAATTACAAGACAATCTCCCTGTAAAGTTAGGGCAGTTTTTCTATGAAGAGTTAAATTTCCATGTTAGTTACCACTATATATGTACAGGAATAAACATGTATCATTTATTTGCAACAGACTTTGGCATAGCATCTCAGAACATGAGTGTTCTTTGCTAAAGCAGCATTAGGATGCACCCGTTCCCTTTCACCTTTGAATGCGGTATTAAAATGAGAGTTGGCCATTTAACACAGTAGCACTGATATCTTCAAATCAATTACTGCCCAATCTCAGCTTCTCATGGTCCACTAAAAATATATATTAACTCAAATGCTACATGTTATATGGTCTTGACCTCTTTGAATTCAGCTTAAGAGCTGTGAATGTAATCCACTAACAAACAAAGGCATATTTACCTTTTGCATATTTACAAATAAAAATTATCTTAGATATGCAAATAAAATAAATATGTACCACTACTTCTAAGCTAAGTATCAATTCCAGATCTTCCTGGCCAAGAGATCATCAGTTTTAAGTATCTATTGCACTGTCTCTTGCTGGCAAAGTATATTTGACCTTGATCAAAACAAAAGTTTAAGAACTGTTTCCTAACTTTAATTGAACAAAACCAGTTACAGAATGATGCATCTCAGAGGAAGCGTTTGCACAATGTAAATATATAATTATGCTTTTTGTGCATAAATATTTAAGAAAACTGGATTACAAAGATTACTTTTATATGAACCTCCTAAGTGTCTTCAGATGTGAATAACTCCTATTTTGTCTTGCATTTTCTGTCTTCATAGAATGTATTTGACTGCTAAATTCATATAATAAAGTTTGCTTTTGAAAGAATTCAGAGTTCTGTCAGTATCAAAGACTGCTGTGGCAGATGACTCAGCGCTGGGCAGCACAAACATCTGGCACAAAATCCATCCAACATGCCAGTTTTGTGAGCCAACAAGAATGTGGAATAACTCAGAAGGCACACTTCTCACACAGCAAAGCAGATACCATGAGAGACACTTGAACTGCTCCCTGTGTGAAGGACATCCCCTAGGTTCAGCATATTTAAGAAGTGCTCACTGCTGCCTAGAGGCAAAAATTCAACTCTGCCTCTGGGAGAGGCGAGGTTTCATGGTTGGGAAAGACTAAGCAGCCCATGAACAAACATTCACTCAACCACCCACCATGTTCCTTCTGCAGCCAGAAGATCCACAGCAGACAAAAGGACACCAAACAGAGCTAAGGTGTCCCCAACAAAGCCTGTTCCAAAACTACTGTGACATCAGGTAGCACCTCAGGCCTGGACAGATGCTTTCTCTTCTTCAGAGAATCTCCACATTCCCACCTCATCCATGTGAAGGAAATGGAGATGAAACTTTATTTGTGAAAGTAGAATATAATGGGATCGCTTGCTGCCACAGAAGCTGTGTAACTGCTGCTGCACATTACTAAGGAGGAAACTGGAGACTAGATATGTCCATCAATCAAGCTTACTGAAGCTTATATAATAACATTTTTAAAACACTGCAATTTAAGGGACAGTAACTCCATGTTAGATATATGCAGGGGGTACTGGCAATTTCACATATATTGCACAAAATTTCATGTTCCATAAGCATGGTCAGGATTGGATGGATACAGGAGATTTTATCCCACCAGCAAATCATCTAACCATTGCTGGTTAAAAATACAGAAAAAATAATTCTGGGAAGTGAAGCTGTCATGACTCCACATGCAAATTCTCAGAGAAATTAATATACATTGTTATTGGGGGAAAAAAGCTCAATAAACATGGAAGTAAGGGTACTTGAGTAGAGTTTTCAAAATTAGGGCTTATCTAATAAAGAAGACCCCATTCAACTGAAGCAGATTGGATTTGACTTGGAAATTAAGGAAATATGCATGAGTACAATTTAGTCAACAGCATCTGTACCTTTTAAAACATCTGATACACTTTAAATGGCAAACACTAAACACAATTTGTGACTCTTAATTGTTGAAACTCTGCATTGCAAACAGAATGAAATACAATTCCGGCACCAAAGTTGAAAAGCCCTCTATCCAACTTGAGAACTTCACATTGTCAAAATAAGGCCACATTACTTCTGGTATTCTTTATTAAAAATACTGCTGTACACATGAACAATGAAAACAGGATTAAAGATGAGTAACACATATTGGGATCATGACATTAGAACTTAACATACTGGTGCTTTTTAGGGGAAGCAGTTGACACCTGAATTACCGAAACAAGGGCAAATCAAAAATACATAGGTACCCTCAACAAAATATTTACAATAGTAAATACGGCAACAGAATTTAAAACAGGTACAAAAATTAAAATGACCAACATCATATGATTTCAAAGGTTGTCCCTTCTGTGCTTTTAGCTGTAAAAATTTGGAAGGTCAGAAATAAATTTCCCATCTGGGAGGGCACATCCTGGTGACTCTTCTTTTAAATACAGATACACAGTTCTTCCTATGACTGCATCAAACTACAACTTTAGGACAACCTTCTAAATGGAATTAAAATGGGGTAGAAGGGCTCTCCCCAAAAAAATACCCAAGCTGAACTTCAGACTGTTCAAATCATTCCCAAATACAGATCAAATAAAATAAATAGAAAACAAAGCTCAACTTCTTTTTTATTTTATGTATTACCTGACACCAAATATCTTCTGGCTGACATTATGTACGAAAACTTATTAGCTGTCTACCTTTTTATTTTAAACCAAGTCCTGAGGTTACTAGGGGCTGAAGCAAACTGACATTATGCAAATACACACAGGTTTGCAATTTAGACATGTCTTGCAGAGGGTGTGCTGGTCTAAAAAGGATGAGAATTCAAGCCCTATTTTACCCCTGCCTTACACTTCCACAAAATATTGGTCCACAAATTAAATTTTCAAAGGTTCCCAAACCCCACAACTGAACAGATGATCCCCTTTCATTTTCAAAGAAAACAATACTGGAAAAAACCTCAGCCCGCTTATAAATTAAGCATTCCATATTTCTTCTAGAATACAAGTACTTCTTTTTTGTACAAAAGAATTACAATATGATTTGTCAAAAAACATAGAAAAGACAGCTGCTCTTCCTCAAATACATGAGCTAATGATAAAAGACTGTTTTGCATGTTCACTTTTCAAAGTTCCTGTTCCTTTTATATTAAAAAGAACATTCTGGCAACTGTTATCGTTTGAATATTAAACATTGTGTTCCTTTTAAAATTGCAACAATAATCGATTTTTCAACTCATCAACTGATGCTACCTAATGTGGATTCAACCACATTTTCTAACATGTGTAAAGCATGTCCCTAGTCTTCAAAGCTTTCGATGTGAAGAGAGTTGCTTTTTTCTTGATGCAAGTCTCAAGGCGGAGAATCATTTTAAAGCTTATAAAAGTGGACAGAGAAATATTAAAAACTTCTCTGAAAACTACAAATATTGAGAATTATTAAAATTGATGTCAGTAACATCAGTTGCAAGTGCTTAGAGTCTGTCCTGACCTTTTGAGTTTCCACATTTTCTTCATGGTGAGCACCCAGTGCTATTAAAACATTCAGTGCTGGGAAAGGATAGATACAGTCTTCACTACTGCTTTAAGAAAGGAAATTCCTACGTATTTGGCAGTCTTCAGTATCAAAGTGTAGGTGTTTAACTAGAAATCCCATAAATACCCAAGTTTGGAGACAACTGCATGTCCAAATATTAGAAAGGTAATTGAGGAGGAAAATTCCAGACTTTTGAGACTGAATTACTTCAGGAATATTCATGTGTTGAGTATTATCAAAAGTAATATTACTTTGGGCTAAGCAGTGACTGCAAAGGCACAGCAGATCATTATCCCTCCAGATTCAGGCCGTAAAACTTGAAAAGCTCTTGATGCCAGACAACTGCTGTGTTTAGTTAATCTTCTTTTAACAGTGTCTTTGTATCTGTATCCAGTGTAGCGTACCATAATAAAGCTGTGGTTCAAAGAACAGAACTTTATACAAAAATTATACTGTAAATAACCTAAAGTAATACACTCCTGAAACTTCAGGCATTTAAACAATTTCTTTAAAAAAAAAAAAATCTATTAAAAAAATTGCATAAATGTAAATGCTTCTGACTACCAGGAAAACGTACAAACAGTTTTTAAAAGGCGCTGGTTGTGTTTAGAGCAAGTTTGATATGCTCCTTAAATTATAGATGTTTCCCATTATGCTATTTTCGTCACTTTGCTTAGACAAAGTTTAAATCAAATGACAGGGGACTTTCTTTCCTTTTTTGTCAATTCATCAATACTTCACTTGACTGGTTTTAAAAAGTTTTGCCTTCTCACATTTCTTTGAGCTAACAGTGGGTGGCATACAGAGCTTGCATACAACACACTTTTACAGAGGTTACGAACTAAATGGTCATTAATAGAACACAATTTCTATTAAATGATTTACCTGGTCCTTTATGCTATTCTGGGTGCAAATAATATCAAAAATGAATAAATTTTGCTATATCTTCCGTGACAAAAATGTATTCCAGAAATGTCCTTGCAAAGAGTTTCCCTTAAAGTATACAATGTGGCAAAACTTCAGAGATCAGAAAAGTCTTAAAAAAATTAAAATTAGTGCATATACAAGTGGAAAAAATAAAAGTAGGAACATCATGCACCTGATGTGTTCCTTAATCTAAAATAAATTCTTCACAGATAAAGCCTCCAATGGCAGCCTTAGCTCTAGGATAAGTGAAACATTCTTCCCTTCAAGTAACAGTGTACCTGACTGAAGTGCAAGCAGCTTTGCTCATCTCCTGTTTGTTTCCCAAATGTGAAATGAGATGACAACAACAATTCAGCTGTAGTGCAATTTGCTACTGGTTAAGTTCCTCAGCAATGTCCTGCATGCTTTCAGCAAATACTACAACTGACCATTTGCGGCTGCAATCAGTTCTTGAAAAGTATTTTCAAAGCAGCGCTTTAAATCGCTGTAAGTTACCACAAGTACACTCTTCTCATCTCTGGAAATGAGGCTTATTTTTTCTGGCACACCAGCATCTAACTGTAACAAGAATGCAAAAGATAAAATAAAAGAAGTGTGAAAGAAATGGCAAAACATTTCCCCAACAACAAAAGCAATCAATTTCTTGGCAAGTACATTGTTACGGTGCAGTTCAAATATGCTAACAGCACAGAACGGAAGGATCTGAATTGCACCACAACAATGTTCTTGCCAAAAAATCGAGACATTTTGGTCTTAACCTGATGGACATTCTAGACCTTAGGACTAGATTACCATTGTTTTCTTCCCTTTCCACAAGGCAAATAATCCTGCAATGCTATCCCCTTCCCTGTGTGGAAGCAAAATTTTCATACAGCTCCTGAAGAACAAAACTACGTTTGACATTACATTTACACATAAGATCCACAAGCCTCCATGTAGGGTAGGTAAATTACTTCTTGCCCACTCTAAAATGAGATAATGGATGGATCAACCCCAGGTAGTCTGAAAACTGGTAGAAACCCGAACCTCACATTTTTAGCAGCACCGAAAGCAAACTAGTTCCTATATTTCCTATGATGTATGCTATATTTCATCCCTTAGGAAAAAAAGTTACCTTGGTATAATCCATAATCAAATAGATAATTTGCTGTTGAAGATTAAAGTTTGTTCCACGTTTGTTTTCATGTTTTGTTCTGACTTCTCAAATTCAATATGTACTTCAGAGATCTACCATTAAATCCTAATTTGAAACAGAGGAATATCCTACTCACAAGCTGAAGCCCCTTACAACACTGTATCTTATGTTCTCCTCACTTTGAAATTAACGTTCACCAATAGAGAACTGTCAGACTCAGTTATAAAGCAAAACTTCTGTAGCTCTGTTTTAGTTGATACGTTGATATTTTCAAATACTTGACACTACAAACTTTCTTATTCCAATACAGAAAGTGGGGCAGAGACAAGTCGATATGACACTATCGATCCAATCTTTGGAAATACAAACTGAGCGGGTTCAAATATATGTATTATAATGTTCTAATGAATAGCAAAACAATTAAATTTGTCACCAAGATGTTCCACTAGCTGCTGTCTGGAGCAACACAGCAAGTTAGCAATTTCTTGTATTTGTCTTTTAAAGTAATGTTATGAACATAACCTTAAAAGCTGGAACCTCCACATTTTAAAGCTCCTGCTTTGTGAACAGCTTCAGAAGGACAAAAGTAAGCCAATTAGCTTCTAATTTTTGTAGAGTAGGATAAAACCACCACTGTCTTCCACCATCCATCACAAAATATTAACACTATCAAGGTGTTTTATGAAATATTGTCCACTGTTCATTCCCATTATCATCATGCAATAAATCAATGAATTACCTTAATGTAGGATAGGGAAGATCTGTATTAAGAAAGCCACACAGCTAACTAGAAACATCAATATTTATGGCTTTCTTTCTTTCCTCCTGTGGAGGCATAAATCAGTATCTCAGCTGAAAAGATCCCCAAAACACCACATTAAAATAAAAGATTTTTTTTTTTTTAACAGAGTAGCTTTCATTCAAAAGGAATGACTTTGGACTGTAGCAGGAACGCCCAAATAAACTGGTACACATTATAGTTTTGGAAGTGCTTTTCAGAGTGTATTTCCAAAGTAGAGTTTCATAAGCCTTACATCTTTTGTGTGCTGAGCCCACAACCACAGAAGAGAAGAGCCTCTGTTTAAAAAGGTAAGCCATGAACATTTATAGAACAAGGCATTCTTTGATATTGTCTCTTACCTGACCTATGAATTCAGGACTGTCCCCTCTTGCTACAGTACTGTATGGGTCACTGCTTTCAAATCATGATGGCATTTCACTGCCTATTTGAATGTCAACATGCTTTCTTTTTGATTTAGCCTCAATCCCTTTAATGTCCCTTTTAAAGTGATTACAGACACCAACCAGAAAGACAAAAAGGAGGTTAAAGAAATGCACAGCAGTGGTCTAATAGGAAGTTAGAAGCCCTGACAATTTTAGAAAAAGATTTAACTGTAGTTAAGTCAGTTATTACATGTCAAAGGATCTGAATATATTCTGGTTTTTTGGGGAAAGTTGGCTATTCTAATCCTAGAAAAGAAAATACTGGGCACTGAAACTGTGTATTGTCAGTGTCTGCATCACCATTCTCTGCAGAGTGAGTGAAATGACCAAGCAGCTACAACAAAAAAAAAAACAAACCAAAAAAACAACAAAACAACACAAAACAAAAAAAAGGAAAAAAAAAAAGGAAGTAGCAGCACCTTAGTCTCCTACTAATTAGTGAAGTTTGGCAAAACAATGTAAAATAAGTTGAAAGCTGATCTGCCAATTAAAAAAAAAAATCAGTTCAAGTACTTTTTAATTTATAGACCAAGACAAGTTCTTTATCTACTGAAGATCTTGTGGTCTCTCACACATCTCCTGCTATTAATCATGACAGTGCTCAAATACAATTTTGCTAGTGATGCAGCCCTTAGAAAACTGCAAATACCTTTATTAAGTCAGCCTTGGAAAATGAAGGGCTGGAGAGGCTAGGGAAGTTATTACAGAAGTGGACTTAACATTTTAAGTCACAGAAATTTTCCAGCACTGTCCTAGAGGGCAAGAATTTTGCACAGATTTCTATTGCAGTTTCCCTCCTGTCTCCTACTCTGGTCAGCACAGTTTAGGAATGGATTGTCCTGCCATACAACCATTTTTTGTGATAACTACCAGCAGAAACTTCCCCCAGTTAAAGGGGTTTTATGGATCCTTTATGCTGTGTTGAAAAACCAGAGTAGCATAAAGGGACCAGCATTGCTTATCCACAGTATTCAATGCATTCTAGAATGAGAAGTTAATACTGCATCTCACGCTATATTAACAAATTTCAAGTTTTAATATTCATGTACTAAGTTTATTTAAATATTCATAAATGTTGGAATATTAGCTCAGTGAATACATTGTTTTCATCCAAAACAGGGAAAATAATCATCAGTTAAACCAACGGAATTAACCTGCCAATGCCAACTTGCGTTGCAGTGGGATACTATTTTAAAGAATGCTAACCCAAAAAATTCTTAAAAGCTAACCAAAGTACCTTGTTAAGACATGAGATAATGTGACTGAGGTCAATCCACGGAGTACCCGCTTCTGTCACCTGATGGAAAAGGTGATCTCGAAAGAGCTTTAGTAAATACCTGTCTCCAGTTTCTGACCACGTTGGGTCCTTCTGAAACCTGGTGTAAAACAAAGGCTCATATTAAAGTTCAGTAAGTTAAGAAAAATCAACCCCCACAGATACACATGACTCTTCAACCTAAACTGAGTAGTCTGACTGCACTGCTAAGCTACCTGTTATAAATTGCAATTAAATTACAGTCTGCCCGTCACGAACAGAAGATAACATACTCAAACTTTCTTAGTTGCTAAAGCACCTGAAGCTAATGCCACAGAAAATAATGGAAGAAAGCAAGAATTATCTGCAACAAATTTAATGCGTAAATGTTAGAAACCAGCACCATAAACATAACTGTAAATCTATGCATAAGGATGGAAAACAGACCATGAACTTCATTTTTATGTGGTTAGCTGATAGAAAAACAAGCTGAAAAATCACTAGCTTAAAACCAGTATCTACAGCCTTTGCTACAGTTAAAACAAGTTACAGATTTCCTCTAAAAGTATTGCCTCTCACAACAGAGTGAGCGCTAAGAGAAACCATACTAAATACAATGAAGCAACTTTGGCATATCTATTTGTAGCCTTCTCTCCTTTATTCAAAATTTTGGTCAAAGTTGCTTATCTAGTTTTTCTCAAGGCTTCTTAAACATTCATTTTTCCAAGGGCAAACATAGGAAAAAAATGTTTATCTTAAATTTATGAGGGAAGAAACACTGTATTGCAAACAGGGGTTTACATACTTTAAACCATGAAAACAAGTATTTCTTACTCAGGCCTCTCATTGATTGTTCCCAGTTTTGCTAGAAGCCTAAACAGCCTTCCATTTTGCACCTCCTAGAAAACAAGAAAAAAGTTATTAAAAGTTTCTGAAACATAAAATTAAGACATTTATTTGCAAAAGGTATATGGTAGTAATGCCAATGAAGCGCTATTAATTACAATTATTTGTTTATTCAAAGAAGAGGGTATAATTTTTTCAGAGATCAAATGCATTGTATTGTGTATCAGTAGTCCAATGCTCAGTTTAGAACTTCAAATTATAATGTGAAGATTCAACAACTAATGACACCTTGCTGCCCCAAAAGGAACTGGATCGGGCAATCTATTTCTTTGTGGAAACATAAATCTAGTCTCTTGCCAGCCTATACTTACAGGTATGCTAAAATATAGTAAGTTAAACAAGATGAATATATTAATATATACATATACACACACAGAGTTACCAAGATATTTAGAAGTACAGTATAATACTTTATTTCAGGTTAAGATGCGAAGGAACATAATCTAACAGACTTGTTTTTCAGAAATGCTTTTTAGGCCATTATTAGCAAATATTTAGCAACAATATCATCAGACTAACATTCAAACTATAATTGATTCCAAATATCATTTCGAAACAAGTTTTTCCAGAACAGTTAGAATCTAAGTCTTAAAAGAGTATAAATGTTGAGTCCATAAATGACAATGAGCTCACATACAGGTAGAACATTAGAATTATAGATGCTTAGAGTACATGCAACTGAAAATTGATTTAGTATGTTTTTCCACATCACTAGGATACAGGAAAAAGAGTGCATCCCAGCTTACATTAAACAAAAGATTAATTCACAGTGTAAGTCAAAGCTGTCAGGAAAAGATTCTCTCCTGATATTATTCACATTCTGCAATGGCCCAGCTCTACAGCACTATTCATGCTAAGATGCATCCCATTCCATGCAGGATAATACTGATTTCAAATTAATTCAGTCTGGAGTAGATTACCGTGCGAAGATGCGTAAAGTAGGTCAAGGTGATAACCGCTTGGCCTCAGACAACCTAGGGGTTGCAGACTTCTATTACTAGGCTAAAAACACACTGCAGAACAGCTTGTTCCACTACAGTACCTATACTTAGAGACTGACAAGGGAAAACCTACCTTGCCCAGCTAGGTAGGTCTATTATTTGGTCTAACCTCCAAATAATTTTTTGGTATGTGGTCAAATACACAAAAGCCAAAACAATACTGTCCTAGTTAGAACAGCTGGGACCTCAGCTCATCACTGTGTGGGTGTAACCCAAAACTGTGTATTCTATACCCTTCCATGCCATTTCCCAGAAACTGTTATCAATAGACCATTTACAGCAGCTGCCCAGAGCATGCCTGACCCCTCAGGCTATAAGCTGAGCGTTATATAAGAGGCCTGTGAGATAGGAGGATGCTCCTGTCCTCACACCCATTGTGGAACTCTCCACCCTGAGGGAGGTACTGGGCACTCCTGCCTGAACCTGAGGATATATAATCTTGGGGTCTTGGGACTTGGTACCACTTGTGGGATCCAGAGAAGGACCAGAACTTGGACTGGACTGCCATCACCACTCTCGACCAGACTGCAATTACCATCCTCGACCGGACTGCAACCAGCACTCTCACCAAGGTTTTTCCCTCTCCTTTTACTTTTTGGACTCAGGGGGACCATGTGGGGCTCAGCACAGGGAGGGGGACCCAACAAACACCACTCTGTTCATGCCCCAGAGTGCTGGGTTACACATCTGGGTTTGTCTGTGTAATTGTATTTATTGTATTATTTTTATTAAATTGTTATTCTGATTTATAATCTCTCTGGAGTTGGGTTCATTTCCCCTGCTGGTTTACCTTTAAACCAGCACAAACACCTATGTAAAGGTTGCTACCTTGTAGATTCCCAATCAATGGTGACACAGCTGAGCAACAACACTGGCACTAAGTCTCCAGGTAGCCTCTCTGCAGGCTTAGGAGCCTGTAAGGCAGGGAACTTTTCTACACAGTGGATCACAGGGCTTGGATAAACTGTGGCTTTGACTGCTATGACATGTATATGATGAACATAAAGGTGAGGAAGGAAAGTGATAGTGTAATAGGGTCACTGCTCTATGAAACATGAGCATTACAGGAGTAACAAGGTTACATGGCTTCGAGAAAACCAAGTTATTAACTACACACAAACCATTCCCAGCATCAGAAGTCCCTAAGATACAGATGACTGTGTCCTTGGAGAATATGAGGAAAAAACACAATCACACATGCTAGTCTTTTTCTAATAATTCTTTCCCCAAAGCATCTGCTTGGGGCAATAATGAAGAGAGTTTAGACTTAAGGGATACTGTAGCTCTGATACTATCAAAGATGTGCTAGTGCAAACAAGTTACAGTATGACAGCTAATTAAGAAGTGCTATTTATCACTGCCAGGTAAATAGTTATTGCCAAACTGAGGGCTAAGCAACAACTTGGATTTATAATAGCTCTGCTCACCTGCCAGTGATAAGCAACTGCTATAAACAACTTGACTAAAAATGCAAAATGCTTAATGCTGATTATAGGACAATCTCCATCTTTGCAATGGGAGAGGGTCCATCTGCCCAGCTTTGTGCAAGCACATAGGGCCACCTTAAGAAGAAATGATCTTAAATACTTTTAGAGAAGGATTAGTAGTTGATTCTGATGAAGTGAGCACCCAACATCTAGAAGTCTGCATCCAACATAGATACTGCCTGGCTCTTCTATAGCTCCTTGCTTCTGACAGATTTCAGTATCTTTCACTAAGGAGGAAAAAACTGTTATCCAACAAGCCTGGATTGGAGAAATCAAGAGAACCAAGTCCATTAGAATCCCAACCACTGCTCTACTGCCTCCCTCTTAAAAAAATTCTCAATGGTTTACAATGCAATGGAGTCACAGTACTTGATTAAATTCTTACTTATACCCTATCCCACACATTTTCAGGGTCATGAAAGCATTCTGTAATGTATCTCAATCCTGACAGAAATCCTGCTATCAGTGGTTTCTAACAGACACCCTTTTCTGTTGAAAAAATACACATTGTTAGCACTTGATACCTTGACTGAACACTATAGACTACTCAGACCCCCACAGCAAGAGGTGCACACTTCAGGGAAACTAAGCACGGTATCTCCATGATCTAGAATTCATTTGGAAAGGAAAACATAAGATTGAGAAGTAAAGTGACACTGAAATCCAAATCCAAGAATTTAAAAGGCAGCATCTGTTGCTGTATAACCTTTAGCACACACTACATGATCTAGTATGTGATGACATACATGGCCTTATTTACTCAGAATGCTACTTTTTAATTGTTTTATAAAGAACATATTTTCCCCAAGACTGCTGATCGGATATGATGTTACTTCAGTGAAATGCCAGCTGAGGACATCCTAAAACTACGGATTCTTGGAGCTTTTGGACTTTCAAAAGCCTGAGCCTTAGGGTTGTCAAGCCTTCAGGCAGATTACTTAGGTTACTTAACAAACAGAAGGAAAAAAAAAAAAACAACAAAAACCAGTAGAAAACATTCCTTTTAAAGATAAAGCTGTAGGAATAATGCCTAGAGGTCTTTCTGTAGGAATTACTACGATTTACCTTTGCTAGGTCTTCTTCTATTACATCATTTCGCATTTGAGCAGCATCCAATTGAGTATAGAATCGTGCACCAATCATAGGCATGATATCATTTACACTGCGAAGCCTGTTCTGGTCAGTCAGCAAATACCTGCCAAAATAACCCAACCCCCAAAAGATTACTTAAACATGTCACAAATGCCAGAGATTATACCCTATTATGATAACTATTTGACTTTTTTTTAATACACATAGTTGACAATTTTTGTCTTTCTTAAAAGAAGATATTAACAGAGAAAACACGTGTTAACTTACGTGTATATACCTAGTCAGTCATTTATACAAGATGAATGTATTTTCATGAAACTGTGCAATTTACCCCACTCAAACAGCAAGAACACACCCAAAAAAGAGGAGACATGTAAATTCAGATTGTAATGCAATTGTTTTTCAAATAAGGGAAGGAGCAAAGATTTCTACTTTTCCCACTCAGGTTGCAAGAGAAAGGCTGACTATACTGAAACAACACAAAATAATATGCTGCCAAGAAAAACAAGCACTCAACATTTTGGTCAAAAAGGCAATGTGCCTATTTCTCAATACCTTCTGAAACTGTAAGATAAGAGTAGCATATTGCTATTGTAGAGAACAAGCAGTGAAGCCCAGTATTGAAAACAACTTCAAACGCTTGTTTTGTTTACACTCCTAATTGTTATTAGGAGCTTTACCAGCATCTACAAACAAATTTTAAATCATAACATTTAACAATGCATTGACTGTGCAGAAAACTCAATGACAGTAGTTTTATCTGTAATCTTACTTGCATCTAAAAATACCATTTATCATTTGCATTTCTTCATGTAAAAGTAGTAATTTCCTTTAAAAGATTTATTAAGCCAACTTACAAAATCAGATTCTTCAGATCAGAGGAATAGTTGATTGTCACCAGTTCCATTGCTTTCTGCAAATTCTCTCTCTGAATTCCTGATAAAGAATTGCAAGCCAAAGCCAACACAACTTTCCCCAGGGAGATCAGATCTGCTTGCTAATAAGGAAAACACACACAGGTAAGATTCTTAGCATAGACTAATATTAGCTATGGTACCGGATGGTGTTAAAAAGAGACAGTTCTTCAATAACCTTAGAAGAATTTGAGCAACTAAAGTAAGTACTATTCAAAGCACAGTTCAATATGACTGAATTACAAGTAGTTAAAATGTACAGAGGAAAATGTGTCCTGACATCTAGCAATTTCTAGGTACTACACTTGTCTTCGAATGATTAAGATTTGCCTATTTTTAGCTTAAGGACAGTACCAGAGAGAATTCTTGTGCAGTGAGCCGAAGCTCTTCAAAGAGGTTCTTCTAACCACGCACCTGCCCAATCCTGATGAGTCAAGGAGTTGGTAGCAAACAGAGAAAGTCTTCTCAATACAAGATGTAGAAATACAAGGATTATTTGTTAAAACAGAACCAGCATTTGCTGGACTCGTATCTTTTCATGACAGCCATTCAGTGTGATGCCACACCACACTCTAGCACATGATGTCTCTATTTTAACAAATTGCTCAAGTATTCTCATCTCTGATGGCCAGTGTGAAAAGATCTGAACTGCATGAAATAACTAGACAGGAACAGGCCTGTATGGCTGACAAACTGAGCAGCATCATGTTTTATGAAGAAATTAAACAGTTTCCTTAAATGCAGAACTGGTCTGAAAAGATAAATGTTGGATACAGACTGCTCTGCCTTAACAGAAAATTCTGTCAATTTTAATAGACAGTCACAAGAAATTATTTTGAAAAGATGTAACAGATTTTAAAGTCCACTGCTAAAAACAGGAGACTAATTTAGTAGCAAACAATGACATCCATAGCAAAACCTAACTGATTCTTTCCATGGAAAGGCTTCCAACTGTACACAACTTGGTCAAACTTGAAACACCTGTAGCTTTCCATGCTGAATACCTGCCTCAGACTGAATTTAACAGTCAGCTACAGATACAAAGTTAGGATTTTCAGGAGGACTTTTTGAGAAAATATTTTTGAAAAAGTAAAAACATAAAAGCTACTAATTATTGAGAATGTCAGCTCCATAGCCTAGAGAAAGGCCAAGCTGTTTAGCAGAGAATGCAGTCATATAAGGAATACACCTTCTGTCATTTCTGTAAGAAGGGCTGAAAATTTGGCAGCGCTGCAACATTAAAATTTCACAACCTCTCGCAGCTTTTCCACCCAGAGGCGAAACCATGCTTGCTGCCTCTGGCTGCAGTAGCTGACCCTGAAGCCACATCTTCCAACTGCTGAGGGCCAGTGAAAAATATCAAACCTTTCCAGATCTCTCAATGTCCCTGCTGTTCCCATATCAAGTATGATTAAGCAACAAATTTGAACACGAATACACAATGTCAGAAGTTAAAAAGCATGATATTCTTGTAGCTAATGAAGACAGCAACAGGATATGGAAAATGAGACAAAAATAATGACAAAATGGTGGATAAGAAGGTGGGATTGGAATTTGCTAGATGCTATTTCCTAAGGAACCAGGAATTTCTGATTATCGGCATTCTTTTTTCCTTTCATTATGACTTCTGCCTCTAAAAGAGACTTGAAAGAAATAGGTGTTTCTATTAACCACAGCATTACTTCTTTCTGCAGTCCCCTACTTTACACTTAGTACGTTTCAACTTTTAGTAATTCATAAGAATGTATCCTATATAAATTCTGTATCATCCCACAACCCCAAGATACCAAAACTATATAACTTCAGGCAAGATTCTATGAAAGCAGTCTTCCTTTACACAGGTGTTTTCATAATACAGATTGCATTAGATTTTAAAAACAGTCGAGAAAGTATCTTACATTTAACATCAGCCAGGAAATTCTAAATTCCAACTTTGTGGTTCTTTGAGCATTTGACTCACAACCTTAATTTTTTGTTTGCTTTGCAAATTACATCTAACAGAAGAACTGGCAGAGAGGATAAAACACACCAATACAGCCTCAAACACACACTTTTTAAATTACAGCCAATAATTAGCTTCTTTTAGCTGCAAAAGTGGCTTGGATTCATCCCACTTATTTTAGGAACTTAAACTTTAAGCAATTCAGACAAGACTCAAGCTGGTTTGGAAAGGACCTCTGAGATCATCAAGTCCAACCCTTGATCCACTACCACCGTGGTTACTAGATGCTCAATGTTCGAAGTTTTACAGGTGCACAAAGACAGGCACTATTTTTTCTGTGGACTTGGAGAATCAGAATAGCTCAAGCTGGAAAGAACTCAAAGTTTTCAGGATTTCTGAGAGTCAGGTTACTATTTTAGAAGAGATTAAACTACCATCCACTGACCAACTCTATCCACTCGGACAAGTAACATGACTTCCCCAAAGCCAGGGTACACCATCCTTTTTGTAAGGAAGCAGTCCATATATGCCCATTAAGCCCTAACTTCCCTCTGAAAACATCACCAGACTCAGCTCTTCCTGCTTCTAGGCAGAGAAAGGCTAAGAAGGTACACAAAAACTGCTACACTTCCCTTGAAGCAGGAACACCAGAAATAAATGCTGCATTCCTGTAGTAGCCTTGATAGTGCAAGGTAGAGATCAACATTGGGTACAATCTTGTTTATACTCCCTATAGTGCTTGGCATGCTCCTATGGATCCAGAGAATTTCTGCTATGGTAACCCATCAACGCTGACTATCAAGTCATACTAATTTGATTCTCAACTTTGAGAAAAAGCTTTTTACCTTTTAAGTACAAGAATCCTTTTCTTCACAAATGTACCTTGCATGCAATTAATAACAATGTAATTAGTAATTCATTCATAATTGTAACCTGTACCAACTTAACTTTTTATCTGCTGAAAGGTTTGCTAATAAAGATTTTATTACCATTTAGTTCAGTGATAGCCCCCCTCATTAATGTCTCCCTGTTATCAAATGAATTTCAAGTATGTCAAGTGAGCAATTCAAAAGTTAATTGCATAGGTACCCTTTGCTAGTAATTTTTTTAATATTAAATAGCAATCTGCTACTATGCCAAATGCCCCAGAGATACCTCAACATTTTATACACCTGTCAGACATGCAAGCTATTCAAATAAATCTTATTTTTGACAGGATCTCTTTTCCATAAACTCTGAAACCAACATTACTTTTTTTGTTTGTTTGTTTATCCTGTTCCACTGCTATTCTTGCATCAATATGAGCTCATCCACACTACAATTCTGTGGATTCACTTATCCTAAGGGAATTGCCCTTAGAAGTACCTCCAAGTTCCTACTTTTTTTTTTAGAGTCAACATTAATACTTGAGTTGCCACTTCAGACTAATTTATTTAAATTTGGGGAGGTGCATATGAAAATTATTCTGGTTTTCCAAGTTGAAAATATTTACTTTAAGCAAAAGTAACCTTATAGCCCTTGTTAAAACAATAAAACTTATGTTTTCTCTTATTTTCATAAAGGGGAGGACTCATGTTTTATTCCAAATACACAAATATTTATTAAACCTTTTTACTTTTTCCTGTATCACCATTTACAGCTTTTCCATCTATACTTTGCAATTGCCTGACAAGACTTATGGACTGGGGGGCAGGAAGTGGTGTGCCGCAATTTTTGCAGGTTAAACTCCTTGTTTTTAATGCAAGTGGCCATTCATATTCCACTTACTTCTTTTTAGCTTCCCGTATTGTTGCCTTAAACTCTTAAATGTTCATGAGATGTGTTTAACACAGACTGTAAAGAACAATTTCATTCCTATTACATAGCTTCTCACTGTTCTGGCCAAAATCTTTTCTCTCTATATTAACAATGGGAAATAGCTAGAAAACAACAAATCCTTAAAAACATACCTTCCTCCACTGAAGACAGCAATAAGGAAATGCATATTTGCTGGGCAGTAAATCAAGAGATAATCTGTATTTTTAACAGTTACAGGAATCCCAGAGGAATTCAGGCACTGGGTCATGGATCAAGAGGAAAAAGGACAAGCAGCAGCTGTGATTTTGTAATTTTATCTGGCTAGGGTAAACAAAGGTAGAAGATGAGAAATGACTCCTGAATTCCAAGAAGTGAAGTCAGCCCAGCATCTCTGAAAGAAGAAAATGGGCCTTGAAAGCCTAGCTCTTCTAAAGGAAGCAACAAAAAAAGAATGCAATACCATATTTTCTAACTGCAGTTTAGATCTTCCAAACTATGTATTTAAGAGTACTTCTTTTCTGGTTTACCAATGCAACATGAACAATTTGAATATTAACAACGTATAAAACATGAAAAACCATTCCCCCTAAACAGAACTAGGCATTATCAAGCAAGTCAGCTGCCAAGTGTTGGGTTGCTATGGTGGTTAGTGCTTTTGACAGATTTGTGTACTTGCAAGTATTTTTAGATTTGTACCTCCAAGTACTTTAAATGTTTCACTTTACTTGAATGTCATAATATCTCAGGAGGACCCCTTTCCAAGCTGCAATTAAAACAAATTTAGAGAAGTACTTAAGATTTAAAAAAAAAAAAAAAAATCTCATTACATTTTTAGGCATGGATCCCTTACTTTCATGTATTTCCATCTTCTCTCAGCTGTTTTCCACTAAATTATTGCGAAAAGCTCACTGATATGTAGCTGGGGGCAGGGGGAGGGAGAACATGAAATTCTATGTTGTACTACTCAAAGTACGCTGAAAACTGAATCATTAAAAAAAAAAAAATTACGTTTGAGGACATGGTCTCCAAAAAGCTAGTTTCTGCTGGCCAAAGTTCAAACATTTTAGTTATTACTGGAAGACTCCAAATGAGTAATGTTCTTACAGTGAATAAGCTCAATTAATGAAAATAAATTAAATCTAACTAGCTACCGCAGTCTTTCACTCTCAGTACAGACAGGTTATGTGATGACAGCTGAAGTAATGTACTTTACCCTGAGGGGAAGTTAGGGAAAGAGGTATTCCTGTACACAGTGATGCTCCAGATGACTGTGGAACAGTTTTTGTTAAGTCTAAAGGGATTCTTCTTAATTCAGGAATTATGCAGAGTCCACACTTCAGAGAACACCAGGAGAGCATGGAAAAACTAGGAGACAGACTAAAATAAAGATACACTAGAATCTTTTAGGAGTGATGAGAAGGCCTAAGTGCAGCTATTTAAAAGATCTCTTACTCCTCTGTGAACAGGTATTCAACACTTAGTTATCTTAAAACAACAAAAGACAGAGCAAAAACTGTTACTGAATCATTATATCTCTAACACTAAATGTAAGATTTTTCTCTCCTTCATTTAGAAATTTTTTTTCCAACCATTTCTGACTTGAGTTTGTTAAACACTAGTAGTTCAACCTGTATGACGAGTTTGATGAAATTTTAGAAGATAGCAAAATGAGCATTCACATTTCTAAATTACAAGCAAATTCAACTAAGTATGGCAGAACCAAGATCAAATCAGGAACAAAAAAATACAGTCATTTAGACATAGATACACTGACCTACAGTTTAATTAAAAGTACTTGTTTTCCGAAGAGAATCACACTGGTTTTCAGTACTCCCTGTGCCAAGTCACCACCTAACTATGGCACTGTAGTCTTACCTGAAACTGAGCCATTAATGCCAGTGGATTATTTTGACTGTTGTCAAACGTCAAAACATCAAAAATTCCAACACAATTAACTCGTAATCTTTAGGTACAAAAAGAGAAAAGGAAGAAGTGTCATTAAATTTTATTGGTTACTCAATTTTTCCTCTAGCATTCATTGAATGGTTTGATACGATAAATGTAGTCATCAGTACTTAGCAAATTACTATGCAGCAGAAAATACAAATTTTACTAGTTGATAAAATGCAGCAGACAGTATTCAGTTTACAAATAAATCAACAAATTTCAAAACTGGCACTAGTGTGTCTGATTTGTCGTTCAAGGATAATGTATGAATCTTCCCAAAATACGCTTAAAAAGATCTTAAAAAAAAAAAAAAACACACCAAAATTACAAGCTTAACAGAACTTAGTAGTCATTTCTGTATCAGGTGCACAGTCAGCAGCTGAATACAGACCACAGTAACACAGTGAGAATGAATGCTTTCATTACCTTGTTTTGCCTGTTACTAGAATCTTTGTTGGATCCATAACTCTGCATGCCAGTCCTGCTGTATGAATGGTCCGTAATGCAGAGCTGAGCTGCACAATATATGCCCATATCAAAGACTCTGGAAGCAACCCAGCATGCTGCCGTGGTAGAGGTCCATCATGCTGACCTAGAAGCAAAACATCATAAGCATCAATAAAAGGTTACTGTGCAAAAATCAAATTACATCACCTTGAATTATACAATTAACTCATATATTCATTTCATTCAACTCTTAACAGTCCTTGAAAGACACATCTATTGTGCTTTAATGGTTGGTTTGGGGGTGGATTTTTCTTGGTTGACTTGTTTAGGTTGGGTTTTTTGAGAAATGTTGACAATTCATAAGCATTATTATTTTCATTCTGATATTCAGAGAAACAATGCTGATTTTTAAAGTTTAGAATGAACAATCACTACAACAACAGCACTGATTAGGAACTGCTCAGAGTAGATGGTACATCAAAATATGCAGGTACTTCATAAGTAAAAACGCCAGTATCCTGAAACAAAGAGCATGTACCACAGTAGCTGTAACAGATCCCGTTTTACCTTCTTTATTGCAGGAAGGCTTCTCAACTAAACATTCTCTATCATTTGATAAGAATAAGAAACTACTTTCAAGCTACATGGGCAAATCAGACAGGAAGGTTTTGTGGCTAAACATCACTGAACACAACTTCACATTTGCTCTGTTGACACAGCTCCCTGGCAAGTCACCACTGCATGACCCTATTCAATGGGCCATGCGAAAGCAATGCATCACTCCCCTTCCAAATGGATACTTTTACTTTCAAAAGTAAACCAATCTTTGCAAACACACACTCAAATTCCATATTGCAGTTTCTGAGTAATACTGAGCCACAGATGAAAAAATAAAGATATAGATAACAAATGTTATTTTTAGTATGATGTCTGTAATTTCAAAGAAGTTGCCACTGTCTGCATTGCACAAAGTTAAAGCAGAAGAAAATACATTCAGAGTAAGACGGTAGGTCTCAATTTTACAATCAATCACAGATATTTCAAGAGGTTGCCTCAGTATTGATTTTGCCAAGTAATATCATCAGTATTAAGTAAAATCAAGTAAGCATCTGATTCATTTGTAAACTGACTGCACTCTTATCTAAACATTTGTTTCTTGGGTTTGGGTTTGTTTTTTTTCCTTTTCCTACAGGACCATATCAGTATCTGTGCATTTGATCAAAATAAATACGTGTGTGCTTGCATGAGTACACACACACAAAATATATGAAGAGTGAAAAAAGTGGAACGCATTAATGAAAATTTATTACTTAGGAATTTTACTGACTTTGGGGTGACGGGCTGGGAATGCTCTCAGCTTTCATTTCTGAGCTTGTTTGTCTGGTTTTAAACTTTAGTTCACTTTTCAGGTTTAAGGTGCTTTTGTTTAGATTATAAAGATCAAGGCACTGACTCCTCTAAATTGCAATAAGCTTGGCATGTCTACTGAAAGCTGAACATAATGAGACATTGTTTGTTTTTTTCTAGCCTCCTGAATCCTGATGAATCATTATGCAAATCACTTCCCAAAAAACCCGCATACCAGAAGTCTCACATAGCAAACTTTTCCCATCATAATTCTCTCCTCTTCAGCGGGACAAAAACTATGATATAAAATGACTGAGAAGATATAACCTTCATTATTGGTCAAGGTTCTTTCTCTATTTACTACTTGCTGTAGAATACACTTTATATTTGGTAAACAGCAGCAGGTCTAATATGTTTAACAGGGATGCACATGGATATTGCAAGACAGTTACATCTATATGAAATAAGTAAACCCAGAATAGAAATGTTGCTACAACATCCCAGAGGGAGAGAAAAGCCAAAACTTGGGAGTTATTTTTCTGCATGTACAACAGCACTTGCACTTTGATTTTCAAATAAAGGCAATGTAATCCAGAGAATATTCAATAAAAGCTGAAAAGCTGAAAGACCAGAGTTCAACAAAGTTTCTTCTCCGCTAGCAGAAAACGTTAAACAATGCTATTTTACTACTGGAAGGACTCACTTGAGGCTACAGCTGACTCTAGGCTGTTGGTTTCACACTGGTTGGCTGCACCCCATGTTCACATAAACTAAAGGTACAAGTTAAAACACTGGAAAAAAATCCAGTTTTGAAATGTCCTCTTACAGATCTATCTGTTCAAAATACACAAGATGCAAAGAAGTTCGGTGTGCTGCAATGCTGACTATGAAATATGCCCCATAAGGCCCATCAGACCTGCCAGAGATGGCAGCTGAGCAAGGACCCAAGGAGATGAGACCCAAAAGCTCACTCTTCAAGCAAAACACACAGTTGAAAGCTGTCCAAACAGTGCTGAACACAATGAAAAATATCACAAGAATGTAAATAAAAGTTATCAAAATGATCAGAATATTACTTTAAAGAGGTATTTTAGAGATTCCATGGTTGATTTGCAAAGGCTTCCCACCACAGGTTGAATCCACAGTCACAAGAAGCAAAATTTCAGATTGTGTTCTTTCCACCTATTGTTGACCATACTTGCCTCTGAGATGCAGAACACAGACACTAATGGAAAAGATTAAAAACTTAAGAACTGTCATTTCAAAAACACAGGTTATCCATTATTTTTCCTTGCCGTATTACAATAAACATAAATAAATAAAACCGCTGACAATTATCTTTAAGTTCTGTGGTATGTTGTTCTCAATGGAACAAAAAAATAACCTTTTGCACTTGTATGCATGTGTAGTTTAAGTTTTTCCTAGTTAAAAAAGTAATCAAATGCAATTCTGTTCTCCAGAGAAAGTATGAATCCAGGAATAGTCCTGGGGCAGGACAGAAGACCTGGGACCACCAGCAGTAGGACCTGTTTTACATTATCAGGAACACCGTCAGAAAGCACTTAAGAAACAGCAATTCTCACACAGTTATGAAAAAACAAACAACATTAGAAGTCCAATGAAAGATTTAGCTGATCACAAAATGGAACCTCTCAGGCTCATAAATCAGTCTTTTACATTGATAACTGTGAATTGTTCAGTGTTTACTTAGTGTTCCTGAGTTATCTTACTGAAAGTAAGATAAATTCAATAGCCTTCATTTCTCTTTCTTCTTGGGCTTTGGGTTTACATTTCCCAGTTTTCAATATACAGAAAGGTTCTGAACCACTTAGAGTGCAGCAGTATATTTTGTAAAAAATCTGAATATCCTGAAAACTTGAATTTACTTTGAAAAAGTTGCAGCTTTTGGCAAAGGTATTTTTGGATAATTATTAGTCACATATTTTATCTCCAAAACATCACGCTGACTTTCAATATTCATATATTCTTACCCTTCATCACAGTCTATTCATCTAGTCATCACACAACTTATTTCTTTTTCAATGAAAGAGGTATTTTATGATAAAAAGATTCAGCATCTGAGGATGGAAAAACTATAGAGTCAGCAGTGAAGTTCGGTTTTGTGCATTACATACTACTATTATTGTGTCAAAAAGAAAGCAAATTTCCCAGACCATGTTTATCTTCATTAGAAAGCATTTGTTTGCTGAAGATACGATACTATGGTGCTGAAAACTCCTACTAACAGCACATACCCCAATATTTAATTACTCGGAGTGTTTAAAAACACACCAAAGGACATGTTTATCTATGCCAACCACAAAACCTCATCAAGACAAACCTTACTGGCAGCTGTGAATAGTTACTGTTAATTTGCCAGGATTTTCTGGCTGGTGAGTTTTAAAGTACATACATTCAGAATTCTGTTTACCATTTAATTATCGGACTGTTCAGAACAATGTTTCAGTACTTTGGGCTAACTTGCTAATGCAAAGAAAACTTAAATATGAGAAATATCAGAAAAGTGCGAGAAACACAAGTGTTCCAGAACAACAGATTTAATGTTTAAAGTGTATGGAGGAAATACAAGAAATGAGAATCAAATAAAAAGGAGCTTTTCAAGTGAACGTACTCCAAGTAGCAATTAACTGAAAAGTCACACTCCTGATTTTAAAACTTGTATAAATTTAGTAAAATTCAACAGAACAATACTGGATTATCACACTGCACCACCTAAAGAAAGAGGAGATTTCATTGCATAAAGAAGCAACAATTTCTACAGCATTCAGGAGTTACAAAGACATTATTTACATTCACATTATAAAAATAAACATAAGCTGCTATTTTCCTCCCCCACTCCAAATCTCTTTGAAGCTGATTCTGTAACATGGTCTGTAAATAACGCAGCAAAAAAAACCCACCCAGGTGACCACACTGACACCAGTGACATGCAAGACAGCCATGTAAACCATAATCCTCATCTTTTAATTGTCAAGGTCTCGTGCTGCCCACTGAAGTGTTCAACATAAATAAGGTTGCATACCTGAAATCAAATTCTGAGTTCACTGATCAGGTTCACAGTGTTGTGCCTCCTAAAACCTTTAAAAGCAATTGTACTAATCTGGGCCTCATGCTGCAGAGTACCCAACTTCCATCCATTCCCCTGCTTCTCTTGGGAGTCTCCTCTAGGCAGGCAGACGGCCAAGAAACTCTGTGAGGGGATGGAGAAAGGATCCGTGAAGGCAGGCAATTCTGAGAAATCAAGTTATAGGTATGCAATCTTATTTTTCTCTCTTAAATTGCTCCTTCTACTGAGGACCAGACTAGAAAGCAGCAGTTACCAAAAAAGAAAGGCCAAAGCAAAGATGTGCAGAAAGATTTGGCAAAATTTGGGATTTCAGGTGACTTTTTTCCTAATTTACCTAATAAGAAGATTGGAAGAGCAGATAATGAGAAGTGCCATGAGGCAGGAGACAGTTATCTTCCCTACATATCCCTTTAAGTTCTGTAGCAACACCTCATCTTAATTAAATAATACTTTCATGTGACTGAGCAGACACTGACGTCTTATTTCTAATTTCCCAGACCATTCCTGCCTATAGAAGGAAGTTGTAGTAGGCCAAATAAATGGTCCCAATAGCCCACTAGCCTGTTTCAAAGACATATACACTAAAATCAGAACAGTAGCTTGTAATGGATACCTAAGTGTATAAATATAAGTAGAATATTCTATTAGCCTCCAATGATTTGCAGCCCAGAGAACTTCTGAGGTAGATATTGTGTCTTTGCAGTAAATAGTCCTCATGTATTTCTCTTCCATGAGTAAGACCACTTTCCCCTCAAATCCAGGCAAACATCAACAATAATCTGTGAAAAAGTTCCATTGCTTAATTATCTTTACACAGGTTTTGAATTTGCTACCGGTCTAGTTTCATTGGTCAGACTTTAGTTTTAGGCTGGAAGAAACAGCACACTACTTTTATTCATTTCTTCTCTATCCCAGCATATTTTTCAGACACCTAACATATTCCAGTCATTTTTAACCTCATTATATTCCTTTACATTTTTAAAAGCATGAAAAGTAGCATCCCACTTCGCTGTTCTTCATACAACTGTTGCATGCCTTTGTTCATCCCTGTCACCTCTTCTCAGCTTCTTTGCTGTTCTTCTACACCCTTCAGAATACAATAAGGAGGACCACAACTGCAAATAGGAGTCTATCAGGCACCCACATCTTGAATACAGTATCTACCGTTTCATTGTTTACTCTTTTCTTAATAATATAAACCAATGTGTTTCCTATTTACTGCTATTCAGCAAGACAACAGTATTTTCCTTAATCTACTTAACTATGGCCCCAGATCTATTAATGAGTGGCAACAGCCACACCAGAGGCCATTATTTTATGTTTGAAGATAGTTATATATTTCCCCTCAATCACATTGGTTTATATTACATCACCTGCTAAATTATTGCTAGAAGCACCAGCCTTGTAAGATCCTTCTGCAATCCATCACAATTGGCCTTTGTTTTTAACAATCCAAACAATTTGGTATTACCAGCAAACTTTGGCAGACCATTAGTTATTGTCAGTGCAAACAAGAGAATGTGTTAAGAAATACAACTCCCAGCACATATTCTTGTGAGACCCCACCAGTGATCTTCACTGTGAAAAGCAACTGTTCACCCTCACTGTTTCGTATCTTCTAATCAGGCATTATCCTAACTGAGAACTTTTTCTTATCTCATGGTTACTTAGGTTCTTTTAAGGACTCTGTTGGACTTCACTGAAAACCCAGGGTCTTATCTATTAGGTCTTCCTTCAAAGAACTTTAATAGATTAATGAGACATGACTGCCCTTAATAGGACCAAAATTTAATTATTTTTCCAGTGTGACAAAAGAATGTATTCCCAAGAATTTTATTATAACTTCTATTATTTTATCTAGAACAGACATCATTCTTCTATAATACTCTAGAGGTATAAAGACATAACAAGGACTGATTTACATGGAAATTGAAAACCATGACTGGGAAACACTCAGAAGTCTAGCCCTGGACTAAGAGTCATTAACCTGGCAGTAGATCTTCCAGGTTGATCTCACCAAATTTGTTCCACATCAGGCTCATTGAATCTGTAGTTGCATTTTTGATTTGCCACAGGATATGACATGTCAAACTAGGGTTTCCTCTGTCTGAGATATTACCACCAAAACCAGTGGTGGAAATCAAGTTCCAACTTCAGTTATACTGGTCAGCTCAGTGCAAAGCCAGTGAGAACTATTCAGTATATAAGGTATCTACAAGTCTTTGAATGTATTCACACACTACTAATCCATTACACTCTGATCTAAAAGATAGTCAAGTAGAGTTTTATATCTCAACCTTTGAAACAGATTGAATTCACAGCTAAAGGCTCTAATTTCAAAAGGCACAAGAAAAAAACCTTAGCTTCTGCTTCTATTCACATGCTGGTAGCCTAAAGACACTTAGGGAAGATTTATTCTAATACAAAAAACAAGGCCCAGTCATAGTCCTCTCATCCTCCCTACCTAGCGCTGGATCTAATTTCAGGGTTGGTCCTGCAACAAGCTGGAAGTTGGGGCAAAGAAGCTTCGAGGGTGTCTTCCCACTCTAAGTCTTTCTGTGATTCTGTTCAGCTGTGACCATTTTCTTTCTCAGCACGGCCCTGTTGTGTTCTAGGCAAGACCTGACTGCAGTTTGTGGGACTGCAGGGATCATGAACTGGTCCTAATAGGCAGAATGACCGGCAGCATACTGTTTTTGAGAGAAAGAGGCTCCAGCCACAAGGACATGAGCTCTACTGGGCAACTTGCTGAGCCACAGACCATGCTGTGACAGGTTTCTGAATGTAAATGCAGCTATAGTGACTCCATTGAAGCCATAGTATAAACACCAAAAAAACCCCAACCAACCAACCAAAAAAACAAACAAACAAACAAAAACAAAACAAAAACCAACCAACCAAACAAAAACAGAACGAAAACAAAACAGACCTACAATGTGAAGTTGGTATCTGAAAAGAATATGTTACAGGGATTTTTCAATCCTTGTGTTGTCTAATACTTCACATTTCAAATCATCAGATAAAATACTGTCTAATTAGTCCTCATAATACCTAGTGATGAAAAAAATAGAAGTGTAGGACACCTGAACATCAAATTGACATTACACGTCTTTTACAACTTTGGAATCATCGCCATTAAATCTTAGGTGTTACCTGGTGACAGTCCCGCTATTAGGACAACTGAATTCCTGGCTTCCAGTTCTCTTTCAGCTTATTTCTATTTCAAAGGACTGTAATTCCCTTACACACTGATATCAATTTTATACTTGTCTATTAATTTTAAAAAAAATTTTACAAGTAGAAGGTAAAGAATAGTTCTCTCACACTAATTTACTTATGACATAGCAGAACTGATTATCCAAAAAATTAAGTCGGACAACTATTTCTGACCAGATATTTACTAAAGTATTGGAAACAGTGTACAGTATGGTATGATAATGTATTTTCCTTACCCCACTTCCGTTTCGTGAAATAGGAATCAGCACTAGGGTCATTGAAGTGTCTGCTCATCATAGTCTCTCCTCCAGCATGAAAATCATATGCAAACACAAGAGCTTAAAAACAGAAAAGTGACATTTGTTAACTCAAGCATATTTGGAAAAAAGTATCAACACATCAGCTAGGGGAAAAAAAAAAAAAAGAAAAAAGAAAAACTTACAATGTTCTCCAAAAGCTTTAGTAGTAAACACTTCACGCAAAGTTACTATATTTGAGTGCTGAATTTTTTTCCACATGTCAACCAATATCATGCACTTTGTGTTAACAAGACGAAAACCTAGAAAAAAAACCAAAACCCACGGTTTAAAGTGTCATGTTTTAGATGAGAATTTTTTACTCTAACTTTTCTTCTGAAACCACTGAAAAGCGACCAGACATTAAAATACGACTAGTATGCTTAAGAATGCTAGTCCTATTGGGACAACTCAATTTTTCTCACCATGTATCCTCCGAAGGCAATATGGCAGGTCATCTTTACTATTTACAGCTTTATAGCATGATGTAATGTACCCAAAGTTGCTTGTTTTCTGTATCCGATTGGGCGGTGGCAGTGGTTCCAAAGGGAAGAGACTGTGGTAGCTATCCACTTCTGCAGGAACTGCTAAAATCAGTTTGTACACAGAAACACATTAGGCCTCAGTTGACTTTAAGTTAATACATGAATTATGTACACCATCTTTTAGGAGCGTGTAAAATTAAAATTTACTATTTTTGCTTTAATACCAACATATACGTTCCTAGAAGTGATTCAACAGAGCTAAAATAAACATATTCAGGAGAACAGTTACACTAAGTAAAAAAAAAAAATAATCAACAGAATAGATGCACAGTTCCACCTGCCATTTTCTCATTTACCTTAGAAGTTCACCCTTCTGAATGACATTTCTTTGGTTTTTTTCCTGCACTGATTCATAAATAAGCACCGATTCCTCTACAGACTTCATACTACAGTAAGAACCCCATTTTCATCACAAAAAAAGCAAATCTCAGTCTTTTGTGTTTTAACATGCTGGTTTAGAAAACAGGGAGAGAGGTGCTGAAAGTTTAAAAATCAGATTAAGAGATCACCCTTGCAAGAAGAGATATACTTGTACTTCATCTGCATTAAAACACTAAACTGCATTTTTTTAACTGTATCATATTATACGCACATTTGAGAAGAAAAGATACTGCAACCAAAAACTATCTAAATAAAGTTGAGTACAGTCAATTGTAAATTACCCAAAAACCAAATTACAGTGAACAGTATATGGTTCTCTTGCCTGACAACTAGTACAAAGCCTTCTCTAATATACCAACCAATTCACTTCAAAGCAAACTGCTTTGATAGTTACATACAGTCTTTGAAAAATATATACAGCATTTAAAGGAATACCTAATATGTACAAAGTAATACAAAACTGTTCTTCACAAGGCTTTATTGCCTTAATGATTTTTCCTATCTCGGCAATTTGAAGTATTTCTACATTACGGAGTGTAAAAACACAGAAAAATCAGAAGGGGGGAAATCATGTTTCTGAAAAACTTTGTATCTGGTTACCCATAGCTCAGGTTGACGACTAAAGCTTCATGAAAAAACAAAAAGAGGTGGTGTTTTTTGAAAGATGTTGAATACACATAGTTGCAGAACAATATGATCAGAGTACAGTTTATTAAGAAACACTTACTTACCAGGAATATCAGCCTGATCCATCTGGGCCATGGTTATTAAGTGTCTGTTGATCAGTTCCTGAAGGAATAAATAAAGTTTTGAACATTATAATTCAGCTCATCGTTTTTGATAAGTTAAGAGTACATTGTCTTTGAAGTACTAGCTATCAGTAGTAAAACAGAGAATTGATGCAAGTATCCAGGGTGCAGAGAGTCAGAAGACCACTAGCTTGAAAATGTTAATGACAAAATACATAAATTCTTGAAGGAAGGAGCTGCAGAAAACATTTGCTATAGTCAACATTGACAAAGGCGCCTACTACAGAAAAGTTGAAATAAGTAACACTCACAGTCAGCCCTGAGAAGGGCTCATAAACTAACACCTGCAAACACTTTCATTTCAGTGTGAGATTTTAAAACTGAATAGGATTGCAGCTTAAAAGAACAGGACATAAATGAGCTCATGCCTAGTAACAATACTCGGCTGAATAGTAAATCACAGCATGCAGATTAGATTGCAATCATACATGTCGTAAGCTTCTCCCACCCTCTGTTGTACTCCATCTATTACAAGGTTTGATTTTTTTAAATTCTCCACAGGTAAAACTGACTGCACAGATTTTTAGTGTCTACTTCTCTTCGACCATTACCAATTTTCTAGTTTTTGCCAAGATATGCAATTTTCCTTTAAATTCTCTATCATCTTACCTGTCTGAGCTCATCTGCCATGAAGAAGGAAGGTGCGTTTGCTTTTGGCTGCATGTAAGCAACATGAGGCGCAGCTGGATGGTAGATGTGGTAGTTTGGAAATACCTGAAAATAAAATATTTTAAGAAGCAGTTTAAAATCCTTAATGATAGGGTAGACTAAGAGTTTTGTCACCCTTTTAGTTCAAACTACTGATCTATAAAGTCTTCATGTACAGTAGAAGTTACAAATATACTGTCATATAGATTACAACTTTATGTGATACTCGCTTCTAATGATTTCAAGGGGAAGGGTGGGTGGGAGGGTTACCACAGTTATTTTAACATTTTTGTAACCGCCTTTACCCTGCCACTGTAAATGTAAGAACTATTTAACCTATCAGAAAAAAAAAAATCTGACTTTTTGATATTCTCACTATGTATGTATCCACTGAGACACACAAAATGCTTTCTTTCTATTGCTGTATAAAAAAAAAATATAAAAACCCCACAAAACTATACACAGTGGTAAATGAAAAAATACATTAAAAATTCTCTGTTCCTTAAATTTCAGTGATTTTAGCAAAGAATTTCAACGATTAAAAGGCCTAATCTGCATCCAGAATACGGGGTTCAGAACATTAAGAATAATCTCTTTAGTATAAACCAATTCAGCATTTGGAAACTCCATACATTTCTGTATTAAAAGCAAACATACCATTCCTGTGAGAGGTGCTGGAGTTGTATCAGTGTAGAAGTATGTTGTTCCACCCACTGTTTCCTTCTGGATCACCTGGCCAGTAGATGGAGGCTGAGAGACAGCATTAGCGACAGACGCAGAGGCACTAGTAGGCACCATATAGTTTGCTGGGTTAGGAGTATGACTTCTTCTTCGAGGAGCAGGAGATGTATGAGGAGTTATTTTGGGAGAATGAAGAGGAGAAGATCCTGCTGACAGTGACATTCCTTAAGAAAACAGAAGAAGATATTCTTGATCAAATCTGTCATTATGAATATTTAGCAATTTGAGAAAAACAGTCCTCACTACCAACAATATTCTGAGCAGGTGAGACACTTAACTCTTCATATAGATATACAAATCTTTAAGAGGTAAAACAGTAAAAGCATGACTGAACAGATATATTTTCCAAAAAATCCCTGCTTAGTTCAGAGAGATAGAGCTTGACAGCTTATGATATACACATGAAGAACTGAAATTAAAAACTTAGAAGTAGTTGAAGGAGTGAGACAAGTCAAAATAATGCTGTATCTAGAAGACAGTTTATTATACTGCAAAAAGATAAAATATTAATGACTGTATGAGTGTTCACTTAACAGCTACATGAGCAGTCAACGGAGTTTGCTAAGCTGTAACTCACTTCACCTAATTATTTACTTATGTACCTTTTATTAGAACTAACTCCACAGCTATGAATATCTCCAGTAATAACAGCACACAAATAAACAATATACAATATGTTATTTTTAATAATTTCAGGGGAGTAATTACCTATTTTCCTGTAATTATTATATTCAAGTCATCCCCCAAAAGTTCTCTTTGATATGTAAAAGTAGGTAACATCTCATGATATGAAGTCTATTAGACATTTGTGCTGAGATTTTCTAATTTATTTGAAATTATTTTATTGAGTGGCATTCACCTTCAACATTAGAGGGGCAACTCAACTGAAACCGGAGAAACTCTTCTTCTAAACAAAGTGTATCAGTGGGAAAAACAAGGGCAACTTTTTTGCATACACACCTTTTAGTTACCAAAAACTTTAGTTACTTCAAGTTACTGCATTCAGAATTCTCAGATCTGCATATTTATAAAAATTTAGGTATCAAACAGACATTACAGGATGCTGCTGAGGAAGAGATTATCCTTAAAAAAAATTTCTTGCAGTTACTTCCTAGCAAAGATCTGAGATATTCAGGTGTTCAAATTAACACCAAGGAGAGCATCTTTGAAATTTAGTGTTGCTCAGTTCAGACTGGGATGTACTTTTACTTCTTTACAATTAAAATTATATTAGTCATACTAAATTCTTTTTTTGAAAGGAGAGAAGACACACAACTTTTATATTTATATCGACAGCTGAGAATTCTTCTCTAAATAAGAATTTTGTTAGCTATTACTCAGATATTTGCTTAAATTAATTCCTTAATCTCTGGTAACCAGAGTAATTTAAGCGAATATCCGACTAATAAAAGCAAGAGCAATTTTTTTTGCATACACACTTTTTAGTTACAAAAACTATTCAAGTTACTTCGGTCATGAGTTACTGCATGCAGAGTTCTCACTATGCATCATTAGTAATGTGTAGGAGTGATTTTGCACTAGTGTCTTGTCCCTGAAGTACTCACATCCCTCCTGCATTTCATTTTTTCTTTTTTAATACAAACAACAAAAGCAAATAACAATTTCAGTATTAACAAGTTAACCAGTAGTTTGGGGAAAATTATTTTGAAGCTGTATTATCCTAATGTTATTTACAGAATATTTGTAACTTTTCATTTAGCTCCACTCATTTACTACTTTGACATCTCAGAAACCATGCTTATTAATTCAGCACATTTCTTTCTTTTGTTCCTGAAAGTGAATAGTTCCAACAAAATAAACAAGATTTTCTTAAACGTAAACTGTGGAAAAATCTTATGCCTTTCTCTTTGGTTGGGTCTCTGCAGTCATTTATTCTTTCTATAAAAATGTGAAATATAAGAATATGAAAAATACATAGTCTACACTCTTCTGGGCCAGAACTTTCATTTCTATTAATACGTGTAAATGTGTTTACACATACCTTGTAGATAAGCAATATTGTAGAATAATTGCTTGCTGATTAGTGTACTAACTTAAAATGTGAATTATAATAGGCACTTCTAAATGGTAATATAAGTAGTCTCCTAAAAATCTGTTTACAAATTAACTGTATGACTGTAAACATTATACATTTTGATAGCACCAGTTTATCTTTTAGCTACAAAAGAAAATATACTTTCATTAAGGTAAAAGTTGCCTCCAGTGACTTAGTAAAGCTTCGATATACTGGGGGAAAAGATCAATTCCAAAGGACACAATGTGTTAGTATTAAAAGTTGAGAGATGACTAATTAAAGGCCATAAAACTGAAGCAACTCTACATGTTCATGGGCTTTTCTTCATCTAGGGAAAATTACTGCATGCCTTTTCCACTCTATTCCAATTAAATAGTATTGACTGAAGTCCTCGCATGCATATAATCTCAACCAAGACAGGAATAACTGGCTTCAAGAAACTTGTTTCAAAAAACACTCAACTGTAGGGATCATGAAATAAGAACCCAGCAGTCTCCATATATACTGATGAAAAATTAACTGAAGACTTCTCTACTCATAAAAACACTATCTGTGTAAGACAGTATACAGTAAATATTATTTTTAAAAAATTAAAGTGAAGACTTGCAACTCACTAAAATTATACTGTGAACTTCTACTGCAAGTTTCTCAGAAGAAAAAAGATCTCTAGTGGTTTTTACTGATATAGTTTCAAATGATTTCCACTGTAAGATTTACTTCTTAAAAAAATTTATTCCTGCCAAAGAACAGTTACAAATATAAATCCTTGAATGTCTTTGCACGGGTATTAATGCAAGATTGAAATAAAAGGATGAGAGCGTTATAAAAATCCTTTCAAACACCCTTCCAGTCTCATTTAGGTCTGATTTTGGAAGGATATTGAGAGTCCAATGAAAATTATCTTGTGGGCAGCACATCTGGGCTTCTCGTTTTCCAATATGGGTAGTAAGTTAGAGATATGAAAGAAGCTTGACTACAGTTCGCTTTCATACCACTAGAAAAATACACTACACATGCTGCAAGAATTTTGTTGTTAATGCTGCAGTGGGTACAGACAGGTTGAGACAACAAATACTAAAGGCAACAGACTCTTCTGAGAGACTTGCACTACATTCTGCAGAATCTGAATAAATATTAAAACTCCAATATCACACCAAAAAAAAGGAAAAAACTTTTAATTAAGCAAAACTCATACACAGTTAAGTACTTAGGGAAGCAAATAACTCTGGGCACAAACTCAAGTAGATATCACCAATTAGTATTTCAATCAGTTAAAAGCACGTTAATATTAATATTTAATCACAACAAAATAGAATTAGAGGAAAATAAAGGAAAATAGCTGTATTAAAAAGTGAATATATATTCCTACTGGCTCATACTCAAGGAAAAAGATGATCCTGAACACACAATAGTAACAACGTGGTGAATATGGAACCACACTTCACGGAATTAGACAAGCTGTTTTGAATAGTACAATTTATATAAATACCTATTCACTTAAGGGGTTAAGAAAAAACAGGCTTTGAATAATCAAATTATGATTTACTTCTTTATATATACATATTGTACCAGTGATCCTGACAAACAACATTAAGCTTTCCCCATGAGAGGGTTCAACATTCCCCTGTATTAAAACTCAAATGCCAACAGGAGAACTAAAGACACCAAAAACCTTGCTTCAAATTGTCCTTCCTGAGGCTTTGCTACTAGCAAAGGTGGCTCTCCACTCCTTGTCTTGGGGAATCCTAATACACTTCATGAAGAAGTCAAATACTATCTTAAAAGATGAACTGTAGGGAGAAAAGGCTTCTTTCACTCCACAAACATTTACATCTAAAGAGAGGTCACGGTATGCAGCTATGACACTGTCATATGAACATGGAAATGCTTGTGGGATTTGAAGGTGTTTCCACAAGATTCACAGTGACTGTAGAGGATACCTACACATATCTGGAGCTCCTGCCACTACTGTCATTTTTGGCAAAGAGAGATCGTATTTCATATCCCTCTTTATTCTTATATTTTCACTTCTTTCATTGTTTCTCTTATTTTTGAAGTTTCATTGTGACTGAGGAAAGGGAAATGATAGACTTTGAAATTCATTTGAGATGGGGCTCAAAGATATTTTATGAGATTAATGCTTCTAATAAAATTTTGTAGCAGGCAATGTATTTGAATTAAAGCTAGACTCTATTTTGAATCTGAGAATTCATACAGAAACAGGATGAAAGGGTATCAAAGCATGAACTCAATGTCTCAGTGTCTACAATTATTTGATTCAATGAGACTTCACAACTTAGTGAACTTAAGCTCATGTGTATGCAAATCAGCTGGCCTACAACATAAAAAACCTCCAAGCTTTGCCTACAAATTTACCCATTTACAACCATATCCCTATACCTCTAAGACTTGTAACACATTCAGAGGTCAAAAATTAAGCATTTAACATATTATCATTTCTGTACTTTAGATATACTCTAGACTATTAGGTAAATGTTGAGGAATGACAAGTCAAAGCAAATAATAAAATCACATTATTTCAAAGAACTTAAAGCAGCATCCTTAAATTTGTTAGATATTTCTTTTTATTGTAAGCTTTCTATCAGGTCACTAGCACTACAACTGCGTATTTTCAGGTTAATTAAATCTGCTTCCCTAAACAATCTGAGTCATCAATTCTTCCTCCTCAGTTTTAATTTTACAGTCTCTTTGCCTTCTTTCTTTCTTCCATTATTCTGGAATGGTTGCACAACTTGCTCTGCACTATATTTGGTCCAGGAGGATGGAACAAGCTCTTGGGGCCTTAGGCCACTCAAACCACCTCAGCTGAAAGTGCTCCATCTCCAACTGGAATCAGGAGCTCTGAGAACTACACTCTTGCAGCTCATCACTAATAGAGATGTGTCAACCAAACATAAGCACAACACCTTTGCACTCCTGGCTCCTAAGCCTGTAGGTTCAGACTGCCAGCAGAAATGGCATCACTTACATTCTGCATAAGCTCAGAACCTGACTTGGACTAAATATAGAAGCAACAGCAATTTGCTGTCACTTCTATCAATGACAAAGGCATCACTCTTTAGCTATAACATAGGTTAAGCAAACCCAAGCAATACAGATTTTCACTGCTGGGGGCTATACATCTGTTCCCTATCAATTTTAACATAGCAATGATGTCTTAACACTTCCAATGACATTAATAAATTTCTTCCATACACTGTGTTGCATATTTTAATGGCATTAATACTCTAAAACAGCTACACAGAACTGGGTAAGATAAGCTTGTTAGCAAAAGTGCTATTTAAAGACTGTCAACTAACTAAATTTCCAACACAAATGACAAATAGGGTATGTTTGGTATCAAGGAAAGGGAAGGAACAATATGGTGTTATTCAGGGGAGTTTATGGAAAGAGAGTTTGGAGCTGGTGAAGGAGATTGATTCAAAGCTCTTCAATGCAACAATTTTCTCCCACTGTTTGTGTAAATTGCCTTTTATATCACTATGTTTACATGTTCCATTAAAGGCTACCAAGATGAAGACTGTTGAGATTACACTACAAAGTGCTTATCTAAGAAAACATGTGTCAATGTAGGAGTAACCTTCTTCCATGCTACACCCTAATAGATATGTCAGGTGCAGATACAACAAGTTATCTACTAAAGTATTTTATGTTTCACTTGTCTTTTTTTTTTTTTTCAGTTATTTCTGCAGTACTGTTGATAAGACAGGCAGAACAAATATTTTCCAAGGACAATTGAGTTATGTATGAAGTACCACATGTGAAAAGTGGTTTTGATTTCCACCTACTTTTAGGGAAATCTCAGAAATTAGATATGTGAAAGAGCTTACATTTTTCCATCATCAAGAGAGAAATCAAAGGACTGTTCTCATAAATTACCGACTTTGTTATGGGTGAATAAAACTACAGAACTAAAATTATTCTTACTACATTTCCGTATTTCTTATGAAATCTTAATTTCCTCCAGTACCATGTAAACTACTATAAACAACCTTAATCTCATGCAAACACTTAATCCCTCAAAATTATTCTACTGGAAAGTATGAACCCCTTAACTGGAAGGAGACATCTTTATTCAAAGGAAAGTTCTTATAAACTCTTTATATGGGTTTCATTTGAATTTGTTTTCACTTATTGAAAGCTAACAGATCTCAACAAAATTTTTTCATCACAATTTCAGAATATATTTAAATTTGATTTTTATTCTGTTATCCAGCATGATCTAAGTGGTGACATTTCCCCACACATAAGTACTGCTTTCTTATTTAAGAGCCTAATCTTTTAGAAAGAGCACCTCCTAACTGACCTTGAGGTAACAGAAGTTTTTGTGGATGTATACTGTTGACAACTTTAATGTTGACATTTAAATAAAAATAAATGTCTATGAGTAGTATTTACATTGGACATTTAGGTTCAGAGAACTCTGCACTCAGTGAGAGAAAAAAAGCTTGTAAAGAAATTCAGAGCACCCAACCCAGATCCCTACTCTGAACTACATTTGGTTTTTAATTATACAGGAAGAGCAGGGAAACAAGCCAACTTTGCCTGAAGTTAGCTCTTACGAATACTCCCCCATCCCTCTTGTCCATAAACAAACAATAGTATTTGAGGCTAGAAAGTATGCAGCATTGGTATCTATATTTCTAGGAGCTCAAATTGTTGGTGAACTTCTTTCAGTGTTACTTATCCTTTCAAGTATTACTTACAGATAGTAAAGAAATTGGACTGTGAAGGATCCCTCTGAGACCCCACTGGACACTTTCCAAAAGTAGATCATTTTACTGTATTCTATTTAATCCTTTATACACTTTTCAATCCAGGTGACAAGGCTGAGAGGCATATAAACACAACAGTTTTCCAATAAGACGGTACAGCACAATATAGTATCAATCAGACACAGTACCACAACACGTTCATTTGGTCAGTAGAAGCATCAATCACTTTCCTAGCCTGTTCTGACAGTTCTTACATGCAAGCTAAGGGCTGGCTTCTTTCATGTGGACACTGAGATTGATTCCCTGGCATCAGGAAGACTTAAGTTCAGTTTAACAAATGCTTATTGCCAACACTGGTTTAAAAAATAATTTACAACATTTGTCCTTCTGCCTTTTGGCAGCTACCTAACGCTTCTTGTCAGTCACCAGAGACTGCCAAAGGTTTGACTACATACAGAAACTCACTAAAGAATCTGCAATGTGTAATATTCAGATCTGCTGATGGCTGTACAGTAAAACTATTTAATTTTATTCAAGTAAAAGTAGTAGAATTAACTTTTTAAGATGAGAGGACTAAAAGATGCATGAAGGGCTTGAACTTTTGAAATGTAAAAAAAAATAAAAATCTGCCACTCAATTATACAACTGTATGAAACACATTTCAGTAAGAGTTTTAAATTTGGGAAATGAACGTAAAATGTCCTTAAAAGTGAGATTACATGTGACAGATACAATAAAAATTAACACTATTTCACAAGGCAAGCTATTTTAGAATAAACTTGCCTTCAACTTCGTTTTTAATCCAGATTTTTAAGTTCTCATATATACTTAATATTAATATTGAATTAATAATCCAATTAATATTGAAGTAATAATTCAATTTCAATTAATATTGAAAATAATTAATTCTAGATTACATAGTCTAGAAACAAATCAAAAGAGCAGATCAGTGTATGGTAATCTGAGAACATATTCATTGTAGACTAAAGTAGTTTAAATCATCTTCAGGTACTGCTCTGGCAAGGACCACACAGAACACAGTATGTGTAACTCAGTACCCCTTCTTCCCAAAAAGAGCAGAGTAAATTAGGCTGTTAATTTCAGTGCTGCTGTGGCTGAGCAGATTTCACAGCCTGCAATGTGATTTCCATGCTACTGGAAGATAAACCCAGAGTTCCTCTACTTTTTGAAGACTGTCTTAAATTTAAGAGCTAAAGGAGGAGGTGGCTACATTTATACTCGATAAATCTGATCGGGTTGTGTTAGACAAAAGAAGCCACTGTACTACAAATCATTACTCTCAACTTACCTGGTGCTAGCCCAGCAGTAGCAGGACTTCCCATAGAGGGGTGAGAGAACAAGGCTTGAGAGAAGGCAGACATACTTGACTGGGATACATTACTCAGCCTAGAGGTTGATCCTCCTTTAGGAATAAACTCACTTGCAGAAGGATTTGGTGTCTGTTAAAAAAAAATTAAAAAAACCAACATAAATTAAATTTTTTTTTTAAATGAGAAGGGATGAACAGTGCCTACTTGGCAGAAAAAACTTCCTAGGCAAGCCTACTGAGTGCAGGGGATGTTTTTAAGGTACATACAGCTTGTTGACAAGAACCAAGAATACTGGAAGCTGTTTAGCATGAACAAATTGAAATGTGCTTTTAGCTCATGCCTGAAGTAGTATAAGCAAGGCTTTCCATATGAACAGCTGGTATATGAGTTCATACAAACACTTTGCAAAAGGCTTTCCATAAGCATTACAGTACAAAGTTAGAGACTTGACACTGAGAAAGCTTTGCCACAGCTGCACAGATTGTTCCTCCATGACTTGAGAGATTTCATCTCAAATTCACTAGCTATTTCAGATTTCATGTCAAACTCACTAGCTATTTCAAATTAAAGAAGCAAAAATGATTCCTACTAAAGAAGCCATCCCTGCCTCCATTTCAAATAGACCTCTAAGTTCAGGGTTTTTGTGAATTTCTGTTTTAATTACCTACTTCATTTATGTAGCATGTTTAATAATGAGGTTTAATTAGGTACCACAGAAAAAAAAAATAGAAGTAGAATGATGGTCAAACATCCAGTATTTGTTAGTAAAGAAAATATAGCATATAATCAGTTTCTAAATTCTATTAAAATCTGTACAGTCGGTTTCATATTTTGGTGTGGTGGTGTTCATTTTGAGGTGAGCTTTTTGTTTGCTTTGGGGTAGGGAGGGTTAGAAAAAGAAAATCCCAATTTGAGCTCAAAAGGCTTATTATTGGACAGCCGATTACAAATTACATTAGCGAAAGAAAAAACAAATTAAGCCAAGAAATAAAACCAATTATTACATGAACACTCTGAAAAGCTTGATTATTAAATGACAGATTTCAGTTTCTTAAGTAATCTTCAGAGTACCTCTCACAAGTGTCTAAACAAATGAGATAAAATAAGCCAGCATAAAAATAGACAATCGCAATAAACAAGGGATACTATTAAGATAACCCATGATGTTTCTTTAAAGAAAATTATATTGGACCACTTCAGGTTTAGGCAGTTTTAAAATGACCAAGTATGTCAGCTGTTACTTAAACTACCAACATCAATTTTTACCAACTTAAGTAAAGTGGTATCATAGAAAGTAAGTTAGTGCAAATTAGAAAAGAAGTGTGAATACCAACTTAGGGAAGAAAAGTATTTGAAAAGTCTTCTTTTCTCTTAATTTGTTTTTAAGACCTTTATTTGAATATTTCTACCACATATCATATTACTAATGTATTTCAAAGCACTGAAAAAGAAGATTCTAAAAGTTGTAAAATTAAAGAGGATGCACAGGTTAAAAAGGAAATAGTATGAATATTCTACCTTTAACAACAGTAAATTTTAACCAGTAACCACCTTATGATGTCATCTTTACAACGTTCTTTGTCATCTTACATGTATATGTTTCTGAATATTCAAGGAACCAAATATGCAGACTGGTGGGGTATAACACATTTATATGGGTAAAAAGCTCATAAGAATTTTAAAACTCCTTAATCACAGTTTTGGAAAACTTGCTAAGATGTACAGTAATACAGCAAAACAAATTGTAAGCTGCATTATACAAACCGAAAACACATAACTGACACGTTTAAACTCAAAAGGTAATATCCTGGACTTATGTGAATTTAGGTACAAGAATACCTAAGAGAATGGTGTTCCTCTAGATAAAATCTGGCATGTAACCCTTCAGCCAAAACTGCACCGAAACTGGAGAAAATGACAGAGGTGGTAAAGAGTTGAGTAGAATTTGTCCAAATAATGATAGAGCTCAGAAATCAAGCAACTGTGAGAGCATGCAAAAGAATTTGTAACATCTTGCTAAAAGCACGTAATTTCAAAGAACTACAAGATCCACATTTTCCCACTGCTAAAACCAGCCATGACATGTGCACACCTCTACTACACCTAAATATTGTGTGAACTAGGTGACAAGAGAAGGACATGGCATTAGTTTTGAAGCATGCAAGTGCAAAGAAACACACCTTCTGGAAGATAACATCAGCATTTTCTACAGCAACTGAGAGAGTTCCCAAAATCCCATCCATACCATTCCGGCTAAACTCTTGCTACTTTCACCTATAAACAACTCCTACAGCACAGTGATGCTTCTTATTTCTAAATGCAATCTACAAGTTTTCACAGACCAGTTTTGGACCTGGAAGTTATTTAGTTACTGACAGTTTTCATCTCTAAAAGTTATTTATAAACATCAAAATTTTAAAATGTAGCTTCACTTTAAAGAAAGAGCTCTACTTTAACTAGTAGGTATTTTAGTTTATCCAAGTGAAAGGAGTCAAACCCAGGAATCTGCTACAGTTGACCTGGTTTATGATGTAGAATTACAAACAGCAATGGCTCAAGTTCCATTTTTTGATGTCACAATTCAGTATCAGAATCAAAGCCTGCTAAGATTAAATTACTGTTACATAACTTTGACAAAAACATTGTATATGAGAAAACAGCTCTGATTTGCAAAGATAGACCCTTTACTATGAAAGCCTGTTTTACGTCTCTGTGATGCTACAAACATGAAGACGTAATCCAAGACTTTCCCCATTGGTAAAAAAGTGATTTAAATTTTGGTTACAATTTTAAAAGATCCTTCCTCCTTCAAGTTGTTAATACAGAAAAATACCAAGGCTCCACAGTCACCAGCTAGAATAAACTAATCAAAGAATTACAACAAATTTCAGTAATGTGTGGTCAAAACTAGCAAATACTGTCAGATAATTTGAAGCTTAAGCTCCAAGCCATGTTTAAATTCCTTACATCTGTGTGAAGCTGCAGTTCTTAAAACGTTTTCAAAAGCATGGAAGTTTTTATCTGACGTAAAAGGCTCCATTTTCTGCATACACTTTTCTTCCAACAAAATAATTAAAATAATTAGGCCAGAATAAATGACTGAATTAAGTGAGAGAGTGTAATATTACTATTAGTTCTGTAATATTTAATCTTTTATTTATTTTTCAGTCTTTGTAGATAACTTATTCTGCAACTATCACCATGCAAATACGCCAGAATTAGGAAGCCACATTCTTAACGGCCAATGATTCAAAATATTATGTTGTTGGTCTCAAAAAATATCCAACTCATAATATAAAGTGTAAATTCCAGTGTTAGTTTTACATTTGGATCAATGGTAAGCTTGAAAACCTGTTTAAATAGGAACTATGCTTTAGAATCCTACCAGGTATTCTTACAGCTTTTCCATTATAATCTTATCAAACTTCCCAAAATAAAGTTGAATAAAAGAATAATATTTTTTATAAGAATTAAAATAATCTATATACTATGATGTTGAAAACCAGCGAACGTACTTTCTAAACCCCAAACAATAAACAATGCCTGCTAGCACTGCCTACACTAAGTCTATATTTTCAGTTTCAAATGCAAACATCCTGTAGAAAGGCACATACAAAACTTCTAAACATTAATAAACATGTTTTCAACAAAGGGCATTAAACAGAAACAAGTATAGCTGCATCAGTTACACTGTGTTTTTCTAGAAAACCACCTAAAGTGACTTTTGACACCTTTGCTAAAATTGCTATCATTCCTTTTTCCTCTCAGCCTTGTCAATTTAAATCTCATCCCCCTTCTTCCAGTATATTCATATAAATGTTGCTGAACTAAAGCAGCAAAACAACTTCTCTAGTTATTATTTGAATTAATACCTACATCGTGCATTCTCACCAGAACAATTCCATGAAGAAAGTTCACCAAAATATCCTATTTTCAGATTCTTTGTATCTCTAGTCTCTCAAAGAGCAGAACCTCTTCAGTCAGTTTGGCAAACAAACTTCCAAAGACAGACCACAAAACTGACTCCATCTGGTTTCACATACAAAACCAAATTCTACACTTCTGTACATCAGAGCACAAACAACTTATAAACACATATAAATACAGTCCCAATGAAGGCTGAATTTAATCATGATGCAATTAGTAAGGATGGATCTACAAAAGAAGTAAAAAAGCAGGGGAGGACTATTTATTAACTCACTTGTGCCACCATCCAGCACAAGAGTTTGTCTAGTGGTTTTTATGCTTTTACAGGTATAAAAGAAAATAAAATTAGAATACAGTGTGGAGGGGAAGAAACAAAATATTTTGTGACTATCACAAGAAAAAAAAAATTCAGGGCTCTTTAAAAGAAGGTGCAGATGAAAGCAAAGAGCAAGCCAAGGATCCAAGATGAAGACCATCACTGGGAGGACTACACAGCAGCATGCAGCATGACTGTATGTTGAAGAGTTGCACATATCAATAGATTTCTGTAAGTCAGACATAAAATCAAAATTCCTGTTTCATCAGCTATCAGTTTCAATACACATAATTTGTCTTTACATATTGTCTTCTCAGCAATAAACTTCTAAGGCCCCAGTGCTGCATTGATGCATAAATGAATCCTCAAAACGCCACTAAGTACAGAATTATCCTGTAACACAGGGACGCACAAGTCACAGAGCCTTTGGAAAGTCATTCGAGGATCCCACAGGAATACTGAAAACCACCCTTCTCCCTCTCTCATTTCCCCTTCAGCATTTCACAACACAGCACAGAGCTGTACAGCAGCACAGCAACCCTAGCAATTTCAGTTCTGGTCCCACATCCAACTGAAGCCCCAAGCAAGCTACCTAATGCAAAAAGTAGGCCAATCTCATGTACTTACCACGCTAGAAACTGGATACAAGCCTTTTTGTTCTTTTATGTTCTCCTTCACCTCTAAATTCATACTGATCTGTTCTGACATCCCAAATTACATAATTGTGTAATGGTTACAGAAAATCATCACTAAACTACACCCATGTTATAAAGCAGGGCAGTGCTTTACCGGTCTATTTTTGGCATAGTTTTCATAATATCTCTTAGGAATACAAAACCATGGAAAAGTCTTCCCTGGTTTTTATGTGTTGCTATTTTTTTTGTCAGGTTTTGGGGTTTCTTTGTTGTTGTTTTTTAATGGGCAGATGTTCTGTATGAAAAGCTTCACTTCACAGAGCATCATTGCAATCCCTCCATTTCCAAGATTACTCATTAACTATGAGATCAGGAAAAGGACACATTTTGTGATGTCAGAGCAACCCAGCAGGCACTGGAGGTCACCAAGGGCTTCAAAGTAAATCTCTCTCTCCCACTATTGAATTTGTTCAACATGCTACCTTTACTGTAATTACCGTGACAAGTCATCACATCATTCATACAATAGGCTCTAATAAATTTCAATTTGGCAACATTATTAGTTGTATTGCTCTACTGCTCTTGCAGAAGAGTTAGAGTCAATTTCATTAAAAGTGGGTAAAATTTGTTGGCTAAAGACTTATTTGTTTATAAACCAGAACACAGGCTCAGACAAATAAAACTATTAGCAAAGTTTTGTTACAATTGACAAGTAGATCTCACTAAAAAGTCAACTTTTACAGATTTGGAATATTTCACATTTCTTTAACAAAAATCTTTCACAGTACTGCAAAGACCCTTAAAGTCTTAAAAGTTTATATTCCTGATGCGATATATTTGAAAAATTCATTTCTATGATTATTTTTTTGCTCAAGAAACAAGGAATCAGTTATTGATAGAATCAGTTATTGCTTAAGAACTAATCTGTATAACTAAAATGGACCTATTTCTACTATTTTAAGGAGAACTACCATTTGCTAGACCAATGCAAGTTTTAGTACCTTTCATGCTTCAGTCTTGCCAGACTCCACAGATTCTCTGCAATCCCTCCTGTTCCTTCAATTCTATTTATTACAGCTGAACATCCTTCTGTTTGAATTTCCACCATATGTGCATATACATGCTTTTCTCAAGTCCACATCTCTATGGGAAGCTATGCAACTGCATCACAATACAAAATCTTAACTGCACAGTTTAAGTTAGGTAGCTGGGATTCCGGCAAATAAACGAATCTGGAATTGCACCCTTCAAAAGCTACACGTTCTGCAGCCAATCTCAAGTAATCCCAAATGCTGCTAAACCTCAGAATGCTAGGAGACCTTGAGCTTCCTTCTCTTTGCCACACTTTGAACACTACTTCAGAGTGCACAGGTACTGAGAAGACAACTGCTCCTGGCAAGAAGCTTCAAGTTTTGAGCTACTGACTCTCCAGCCTCCAGAAGCATTTTTTGCTCCTACTCTAAGTGGAGCAGATTAACAACAGCATTTGCTGTGCCACTGTACAGCAGAGAAAACAATGGAGGACAGGAGTACAAATGGGGCTGTTCTTGCCCTATAACGTCCACTTGAAAAACAGAGATCAAATTTCTGCTTCTGTCTTCTCAGAACAACTGTCTATTAGTTATGGTTTACATTTACTATTAGATGCACATGATAAGTTTGGTTTGTCACTCTTCTATCCCTTCAGAACAGTACTGCTTCAAAGGCTCCCACTACTCTCCCAAAACCTTACCTGGTTCTTCTACCAATGTTCCCTTTCTTTTCTCCATCAGTTACTGTGCTGCTTCCCCAGCAGCAAAAGGGCCAAGACAGACTGAAAGTCCAAATTTCCCTAAACAATGTAGCATCAGTTCACCTACATCACACTGTCCATGACTCCCCACTTCAGTAACACAGAGATGTCCAAACATCAAGCAATGCAAAACTAGTATAGGTATGGAAAGGCTCTTGTAAGAGTTTCATGTTGGCCCTTACATGGCAGAAATTCAGTGAACCGAAAGAAAATCTTAAGGTGCCACAAACTCTAGGCATAATCTGTTGTCAATTTATCCATTTCCTTCACTTAGAAAACATCAAAAACAAAAAAAAACCTCACAGGAAGACTAACAATCCCTGAGAAATCAAAAGAACTACACAAGTAGAAACAGTATTAGCAGCAGTGGTGCAATTGCCACCACTGTAGTAGTTTTCATCTAAACTCCATTTTAAGGGACATGAAGCATATTCATCCTAGACTAGAATTATCCTTCATTATTACTCCAATGACTACCTGCTAATTCTGTAAAGAGATATTCAAATGCAGTTGTACCACTCCCCTCTTACAGAGCGGAAGATGATTCAGGAATAAAGTTAAATGAAGTTTAATATATTTCTCAAACAAGTTGGGAAGTATAAACTATCCCAACATAAAAACTAAAAATTTACACTTCCTGATCATGGTGATTACATCTTCGAATTCTGTACTGAGAGCATCTATTTTCATTAAGTGTCAATCATTTTAACAAAGATCACTAATTTTACTAGTAGAAACCTTCCTCACATGAGCATTAAAATAAAAGGTTGTGTTTGTTTGCCTTTAGAATACATTTCATGATTACTGTTGCTCCTTTTCCTCAGATTATTGCAAAATCAAATAAAGTAAATAGCTCAGCAATGGGTGAAGATAATAAAACATCTCCAAGTCACTCTCCTGGAGGGCTACTATGCCTACTTTGTGAAATAAATATTTGATTTGAACTCTACTCAAACGTGGAGTAACTGCTTCTAACATTTTCCAAAATTTAAAATAAAGCATCCAAAATACTGAAAAAGTGACTAGTAAAAAATAATTTTACCTGTAAATTGTTTTCTGTGACTCTGTTCCACCAAACCATATTGATGGGTACTCCTGTTTTACACCTGTCAGCCAGACAGCCAATAGGGTTCTTTGATTTTCTTGCTTTTGATCCCACCGGAACTATCCTCTCATCCAGCATTCCCAGTCGATACTTCCTGGGCTATGAAAAAGAAGGAGAGAAACCAGGCCACTCCTAACAACCCTCATCTAAAGCTACACTAAAATAGGTATTACATTGTGATATGATTTTTGGATTGGTGGAATAGGAAACAATTTGCAAGTAAAATTTATCTGAGACTGTTTCCTTTCAATCCTGACTATTCGAGTATAATACACAATACTTAAAAACACCCAAAAAACCCCAAAACAATATGAAAATAAACTTCAGGGACTACTAATTATTTGTAAGCAAAACCATCCATCACAAGTCAGCCATTGAAATATGCATACAAATTGGGGAATTCTGCATAAATGAGGAATTGTTTAAAAAAAGGAAAAAATCCGTATTTTTGAAAGAGATACCTTCAATCACATCATAATAATGAACACTTCCCTTGAAATTCCTATCAAACAAATTTTAAGTTCAAATTTGCCATGACTCCTGAAGATTGGTTTTAAAAAAATCAGATAGAACTGAGTAGTCAATTGCAACAGAACTCTGAGAAAAACATTTCTGCTCAGCTTAATATTTGAAATAATAATTTCACTTACTGTCTTAAGTGAAAACAGACAAGAATTACCATGATAAATGCAGTCTTAAAATTGAGAGAGTAAAACATTTGAGGAAGTGAACATGCAGAAGTTATTTGCACCTCAATAACAGTGACACTTCTATTACATTGGCAATTATCTCTACAAATAAAATTATTTATATCAACATTAAATTTAAAAGGCACACCATAAAAAAAAATATGTTAAATACTTTCAAACAGGTAAAGTTTTCAAAAGAAGTTTTCCAGATTTCTCTATGCTTTCAAACCTATGTGTAGCTACCTAGACAGTAAATAGCACCAAAAGAAATATTTCAGCATCTATGCATATTTACACCAGGACCTTTTGTATCAACTGTATCAACAACTGGACCAAATTTCAGGGGCTGGTCTGGTTTTCTTCTGCTGTGGGTTTTACTCAGGTATTTTTTATGTGAAAGTGCAACTATCATCATCTGGATATAGACAACTCTAAGCAATCAAAGCTTAACTTACCTTTAGTCAGATATCTACTTCACCTGGCACCTTAGAAATCTTAGCAAGGTGTACCTTCATACACATTTTAAAAATTATTCCTCAAGAAACAAGGAAAGAATCTAATTGCAGAAGATTCCCCACTCACATACAAACTATTTGTAAAACACAGGACAAAATGGCCATAAAATGGCTGCAAAACCAAAACCTAAACAGATTTCCTCCTCTGCTTTCCTGAAGCCTTTTAGGCTGAAAGCTTTGGAAAGAATTAAAACTGAGTAGAGTCAATAGTAGCTCATTTGCCTAAAAAAACTCAGGCAAACAAACAAACCCTCCCTCCCCCCAAAAATAACCTCCACAAACAAAACAACAAAAAACCCCCAAGGATACCATCAACGATTATGAACTACTAAAGGCAATAAATTCCATGGAGGACTTAACCAATCTTAATAACAATAAATAAGACTAAATTTTGCCATACCAGTTAGAAATCTGGTAAAGTGTGTGATGAGTAGCACAAAGTCCTCCTGTAGTTCAAATGCAAACCTGATCACAGTAAATCTAAATATTGGTTGTTTATCTGGAGAAACTCTAAACAATTGGGCAATTTATCTCAGTAAATCAGAAAGACTACTAATATCCTAAACTGAAAAGCTGTAAGGTCTGAGAAGCTACATATACAAGTCAGGTTGGACTTTAGGGTAGGATTTTAACGCAGCATGTATTTCTCTTAGGCTGACTATTGGAAATAACATAATGAAGAGTAACAGTTTTCCTGGAAGCTTTCCCATCTCTCTCCATGTTCTACCAAGAGCAGTGGTACAGTCAGCCTCAGACTACCAGATTGGAACCCAGTGTCCAAACACATTTCCATTCATAAAGAGTTCTTTTAATCCTCCATAATAACAGTTTGTCTATAAATATTTTGAAAAGGAGAACCAAAACAAAAGAGGAACTGAGCCAAGGTGGAAGGCAGCTATTTTGGTTCCAATGATATTCAGATTCCAGGCAACAGGATGAAACTGTATCTTAGGCTTTATGAAGGACCATACTGAGGGTGAGGGGCAAACAATTGCGAGTTCTAAACCTTAAAGCCACACAGAGACAATATGAGCTCATATACCAGTAGTTCTTGGCCTACTGGTATAAAAAAAATGAAACTAAAAGTGGGTGGGACTAAAGTAAAATTTTACTTTCATTATCTACTGTAAAACTTCACTAGGGGATTACCAGGTCAGTATTTCATTGTTTAGACAGACATTAGAAAATGGAATAAACAATATTAACATTTGGAAATAAATTTTAGTCTATTTGGACCAAAGTTATTCTTTGAGCATTCAATGAGCAAAATGGCATGACTTAGAAAAGCAATCTGAGTTTAAAAGATATCAGAAAACACAGTATCTACCAAGAGGAAAGATTCAACAGAACAGAAAGCAAACAGACTGAGCAGCTTGAATAAGTGCATCAACTCTGCTACATCCCTGATGTCTGCACAGAACAGCAAATAAAGCAACACACAACAGTGCTTAAGAACTTATATATCTAAACTCATAAATATATCTACCTAAAACACAGAGACATGACAATCTGGACTAAGAAACTCAACTTTATGCACGGGGGCAATTTCTCTTAGATGCTTACAAAAAAACCTGCCTTTTTGCCTTCCCTAAAGTCCTTCTATGAGGTAAAAAACCTGTTCAGATGAAGGCATAGTTCAACATAATGAACTTTTTCTGAGGCAGAGAAGGTGAAGAATTACATACTTCATAATCCTTTATCAAGTATTTCTCAAACTAGGCTGTAACTCCAAATATGGTTACAAGTTCCGAACTGAACTGTAAAAGATCAAAATCATCACAATTCTTTTAAATGGAAAAGGCTAAACTACAACCAGAAAAATCTCAGAGAAACTACAAAATCCAAATTACTACAAAGCGTTACTGGAAGAGTTCAAATCCTCCAGGGAAAAAAGTGTGAAGCAGCAGTAATTACTGGTTGACAATGTTTACAAGAGGCAGGGAGCAGCTAACTATCTTTAATTGCTAGCAATAGTTCAATCATAGCTAGTAATTATAACCCTTGCCCTGCAGAACCAAGCTGCTGCCAGCAACTCATGATAGGAACCTATCGGTTGGTACACTTAATAGGAAGGATAAACCCCTAAAGTCTGAAAAACATTAAACTTGAAACAAGAGAAATCCACTCCAAACACAAAAAGGCCTTTCCTAAGTAGTATGGTCACATGAGAACACTACTACTGATGAGTAACTTAAGTAGCCCACGTTAGAAAGTATTCATGAAGTCAGCTTAATTACTTTTTTTTCATTCATTCAACAAGAACTTTGGGAACATGTTTAGCAAGTTTAACAGTGTCTTTGTCCCCTCCTCCTCCTGTTTCATGGACGTTGGCAACACCACACTTCCTTTTTCTAATTCAAGATTAAACTGCCTGCTGGTGGTGTATGATATTATAAGGCTGTCCTAGAGGAATAAATTTTAAAAGAAAATATTTACAAACATTCAAACTGTAAAGACTCCCCCTGTTTAATAATTTTCATGTAGTATTTAAGTCTGGATAAGCTGATAAATCAAACTACACAATTGCAAAGTTTTCTTCCCCTGAAGATCTCCAACTGGATTTTTTTCAGGATCACTTTGGTCCCAAATTACATTTCTGTTCCTTAAAATGCACTTACCTCTAGCAGGCTTTGAATTTTGATTTATAAGACATATTCTACACCAAAACATACACAATTAAGTCTGGCATATAAATACATGAGGAGGCTATTAAGTTTTAAAGTATTGTCAAGAATCTGAGCTATGGTAATGCTGTCTGTGTGCATCTACTACCAAAGTAAACAGAAATTATCTTAAACCTTCTCCATCACAGGCTAAATAAAGCAGATTTATGTTAAACTACCATAGTTAAAAGGCGTCACAGTAGCATTTAGCTAAGGCTCATCTGTTGTACAGTGAGTTGATTGTATTTGCACATACAAACAGAAAAAAATAAATTAACAAAAAATATTATATTGTCAGACAGAAAAGATCAGCTATACAAACTCAATTTCCTTGTACTACTTAGAACAAAATTTAACAATATGTACAATCTTAAGTTTCAATGCTGACTTCTGTAAGACTTCATTTTTTGAAAAATTAATGGCAAAGAGATCATTAGAAAAAGAGGTTAAAATTTAAAAGCTAGGCTTCTAATCCATTGAAAGAGAACCAATTTCTGTTTTACTATGCCTTGAAAACTTAAAAACTAACTAAATCAAATTCATTGGTATCATTATCGATATTTTCACCCAACAGCCATAACCTATTAGCTGGAGTAAGACAAGTACTTGAAACACCCAGCCACAGATGTGAACTTCAATATGTTATTGAGGAAAAGCGCAACAGTCCAGGCAGAATCCCTACACAGGCACAAATCAGCTAAGAAGCACCTTACTCATTAATACAGGTCCATAACTGGATTTAGTAATATGTTACACCTAAAGATTAGGTATAGTCACCAGGAATATACTAACAGATTTGCAAGCTGGAAATATGAAAGAGAGAAGTCGACTTGGTTCTTTTTAAGTTTTGTGGACAACAGAGCTACAAAACCCCTTCACATGGATTGGGTTTGTTCCTAAGCAAAACACCCTCTCCTCCTTCTCTTTTATTACACTACCCACTGGTAGAGAGGCAAACAATATCTGTGTTTTCTCTATCTCAACTTCTGAAGGTTGGAACCAATTTTTTTACATTTGATCCACAAAAAAAGGGAATAGGAGCCTGGTCAGCACATTAAAAACAATTGTGTAGTAGGCTGGTGTTTGCTGTTGGGCAAAAAAGTTTTTTTTCCTTATAAAGAAAAGAATAGTATGCTAACACTTACAATGCTTATATGTTTATAATTTTGAAGTTTCTAATACTATACATTGAGATTACATGCATTTAACAGACTAGCCACCCTTCCATCTGGAACCCTTTTTTGAAATTGTTCATGAAAACCTGGTTTTGGCTGGGGGTAAAACTTTCACTAGTTGAAAAGTATCATACAGAAACAAACAAAAATTATTCTTCTGCCCAAAGAAAACTAAAATGTGCCACCTTCTATCCATAAAAACCCTAACATTTGTCATTTAACATGGAAATAGATTTTATTCCAGAGTAACATATCTGATCACAGCAAAAAAACCATTCTTGGTTTAAACAAATTTTAGAGTCAAATATGCAACATTTTAAACTACAGCTAAGGAAACCTCTTCAGGAGTACATACTAAAAAGGTATATTTCACATGCTGAAGGCATGCAAATCTTAAATTCAGAAGGAGGAAAACTAACATATCGAAGTCAAATCTTTTCTCACCAATTTTGCAGCCTAGCTAGGTTGGATGAAGTACAAACTATCACAAGAGCTAAAGTCTGGCACAGATGTAGTAATGCTGACGAAGTTCTTTACTAATAAATTAATACCACCTGTTGAACTGAAATAAACTGGTGGAAAACCAGGTGTTTTCCACCACCATTAGAGTAGATAGTTCTAACTGTAGTGAAGATGTCACAGTACCACCACCTCAAGATGCACTTTCAAAAACTCCATTGCTAAAGGAGCAAATGACAGCTTTTTTTTTCCATGTTTAAAGGTCTCTTTGTTAATAGGCCAGAAATTTTTACATTACTTACAAAAAAAGTGGAAAAATTATGCACAGTTAAGAACCAAAAATACAGGTAAGCAGGCTAAAGACTGGTGCAACTTTTACTCTTTACTCACCATATGATTTCTCAAAAATGGTATATTCTCTAGCTGCTTTAATATTTGTATAGTGACTTCAACAAATATGTGCACAAGTTTAAAATATTTTAATTATTTTTCTGCAAATCACTCTTAAAGACTACATACACCTTGGCCTAGAGAGAATCAAATAAAGTTTGTAAATATAAACAAAAGTACCTTGCATATTAGTTACATCTGTAGTTAACTGCCTTCAAATACACAGCAGTACGAGGCAGTAAACATTGTAAAAATGTTACATATTTCTAAAAGGAAATCCTTTAATAATTTGATTTCTTATTCATTACAATGATCACTAAATCATAAATAAATAAATCTGAATAATATATTCTCTCATGTCACACTTGAAAATGAAAAATATGTACTTAACTACATAGTAATAACAAAGAGAGCAAGAGCACATAACCAGGGAACAATTCCAACAACTAACTATTCCAAGGAAAAGCGTAAACCAGATTAGATTATATCATATCCCTAAAACACATTTTACATCATGGTACTACCTACAAACATTTATTAGTTTTTCTAGAAAAATATAGTCTGTCTTTCTACATTCCTGCAACAACCTTTTTTTGCATGCTTTATAATTTGTAATGTTTTATTATTGCAGTAGGGGTGGATAATCCCAGAAGGAAAATTTAAGATTTGAAATATAAATTTAGCCCAGGTACAATAAAATCTGTGCAGCCATAATTCTGTCATTTACAACACAGTGATGTGATGGTTGGTAATGACCCCTCAATTTATCAGAACAGGATTCATGCTCCTGAGATGGTATGCAGGACGTTATTAAAGATGAAACAACTGTCTTGGCACACTTTCATTAAAGGTAAGTACAGCAAGACAAAACATGGCACATACAGCTTTTCAATGAACACCACTGAACCATATAATGATCAGGTACCAGAGGTGTCAAAATAAAGCTGGAAACAGGAAGCTGGAGAGACATACAGCTTCCCAACAGGTAACAAAACTAGATGGAAGGCAGGACACTCAAAAATAAAATAGCAACCATTAAGGTTCTAAGAATTTGGTTTCCACAGGACCTGAAGTCAGCATTATTGTTTTCTTTTAACTTGAGAGGGCAAACTCTCTTTGTACTCATTAAAAAGCTTGCATTTATGGAGCCTAGGCTTACAGGCAGTCTTTTGTTTCAAATAATTTTCTGTGTACATTTAATTAATTCACTTTGATCAGCAGAAATAAGTCTGCTGTCCAGTCTCACTTGCTGTAGATCTCCATAGCACTAAACAGCAGCACCCTGTTCTGGGTGAACTTCAATTAATCTCTCCTATACTTTCCATTCTGATCTAGTTTAGACTCTGTCCTGGCTTCTACTCACCTAAAACCAATGGAAAGTGTTCTACAAAAGAAAATTTCTTCAAAATACAAAAAAAGCAGCATTAAAATTGTATTTAAAGTTGTTCACTACAGCACTTGGTTTACCCCTTGCAGCCTGTGAACTGAAGTCATTCTCACCTTAATGGACCTCCTCTAGATGTGACTGAACAATTAAAAAATGAAATGGCAATAAGTCAGTGTTAGAAACTTTTCATAAGAGTTCAGTTTTCATGAGGATTGAAGGTATGAAAAAACAAAGTAAAATGCAAAAGCAATGCTTTTCACTATCCTGTAAGGCTGACCAGTGATAAGTAGGGGAACCCTTTAGCCTGGATTGGTGGCAACAGTCTCAGAACAAATGTAAACAAAAGTTTCATAATATATTTTCTTTTTAGTGTATTAAGCTGTCACATCCTTGGCAGCAGATTCTGATCAGTTATGTCACACGTTTTTAAGAACTGTTTACCAGAACCACCAAAGTGAATGCAAAGATTTTTCCACCCAGATCATTTTGGATTTAGCAGAGCACACTTTTCTACATAATGGCTAAAGTCAATTTAGGAAAAACACCCAAGAAGTTCAAGTTCAGAATATCACCCTATTTTTAACAAGCATAACATGTGTTTGAAGAAAAATGAAGTAAGCATGATATCGTTACTCTTTAGGAAAGTGTGTTAGTCTATTACTAAGTCTAGCTTTTGTTCCATGCTTCACAAATCCTATTTGTGCACTGTAGATTAATACTTACCCGGAAATCTCTTATAGGAAATTCACTTTAAGGTTGCTTGTCTTACTGCATGAAGAGTTACAACAACCGGACAGTAAATCCAGAAGGTTTTACAGTTGACAGAACCTCCACCAAGGCTCCATCTACAGAAATACTTAGCTCCTTTGATTTCATTTTAAGTATCCTATAAAAATGTCTTTAAATAGTAATCTTAGCTTTCCTGAAATCTAAAATTGAAATGCAGTTTAATAATTTCTAAACAGAGATAATTACCTCAAAAACATTCATAAAAATTCAAGGACTATGTTTACTTTTTAAACAGAAAGTAGAATGTCTTTAAACATCAAAACAGCCAAAAGCATATGAAACAGCCCAGACACAGTAACTAATTTCAAAAAAGCTGTCTAATTAAAAAGCAAGGATATTCTATGATGAACTACAATCATCAAGTCTTATCTTTAATATTTTATTGATATCAAATATTTGTCCACATGGCTTGCCCATTGTTAAAGGGCTGCCAGTATAACATGATCAGCAATATCCAGAGACAATCAAATTTGCTTAACACAGCTATGTATTATATGCTTTTACAGAAACTATTCACAGTTCTACACAACACAAGCATGCAATTTTTACATAGTTGCAAATAACTTAATACTTCAAAATATTTAAAATATCACAATTCTAATTTGTAAAGGAAAGCAATTGCTCTTTATTCACTTACCAAGACTGTATTATATCTGTCCTCCAAGTCAGTGATAAACGAAGGAAATGCTGGTTTTGCCAGCTAGTTCAGAACAAACAAAACTTTAGACTTGGGCTCTTAGCAAGAAAATGAAAGTTTTTTTCAAACAGTAGATGTTGTTAACACCTACATTTGAACTAGTCACCAAGGCTCCCTTTATACAACAGGCATCAAGCACTGCCTGATAAATCACATTGTTCAAGCTCTAATGAGGTGGGGGGAATCATACAATTTTTTAAATACCTGGCACTCCATCATTTAGTGCTTTTATAGAAATCACTTAATACAATTTGAACACTGTACTAAAAAAATACTAAAAATATGAAGAACTTACATCTGTGACTACTTGCATCATATTGGCTGGCAGCAAAAGTCAGTCAGTCACAAAACTGTAATTAATTTCTCATAATTTAGCCATCAATTTTTACCCACTTAAAGCAGTCGGGATATCTGGTCTTTTCCAAAATATTTTCCTCAGTGTGAGCTGAATGTTTCTTTAAGCTGTTCATCTCTCTCTGCTGACTATAGAGGGAGCCTGGATGCCTAGATTTAAATAGCTCAAGTAGTAGCATATGAAAACCTCCCCTTTGCTAGTATTTAACAACCTTTAATACAAACATACATTACAAAATACCAGTCATAATAAGCAAAAAATTAACACACAAAGCAAAACACAAACCTCTTTCAATTAATGCCAGTTATGTCTGAAATATTAACTAGTAATCAGTTTCACAGATAAATCTTACTCTTGATAGTATTTTAGCAGCAAGTGAATTAATTGCTCCTTTTTCTTGGGGGGAAAAAAATGGACCAAGTCAGAAAACACTCTAAATTAGTATCTGAGCTTTGAGTTATCCACACTCAAACATGAATTGGTTTGTTTTAATTTTGTACTGTTTAATTAGCTTTGAAGTGATTTTTAGAGGCAGTGGTCACTCTTGCAGTACTTCTGTATAATAGTTCATTTTCTTTGGTGCAGGTGGTTTATACACAAACACAAATTTACACACAGGTACATACATATGTGTGTATATATATCAGTTACTGCAGATTGTGTTGAAAAGGAATATATGATTAGTTTTGGTCTTACCAGCCTCAGTAAGGGGATAAGCAACACATTCACAGTTGTTTACATCCAACTTCCAGTGCACTATACTGGCATTAAGGAAAAGAGCAATGCAGATATTCCATGTAGTTTGGATACATCATAGTATTAGAAAATTAATGTTCTACAACAGCATTTAAATGCTACGAAACAGTGTGATGGGTCAACCACAGTAATTATCTTTAAGCTCAATCTTTGCCTGCAGGAATGATACAGAGCATGCTGATGTAGCTTGCTTTCATTTACTACAGGGAAGTTCAAAATAATGCGGCTAATAAGTAGTAAAATATGAGGGTCATCAGTGAAAGCAAAACTTAGTAACTGGTTGGGACAAGATAATGTCTTTTTTTGATAAGCAACAGTTCACAAAAATGAGAAGGAACTCTGGTGTAATCAAACTTTTGTCTTTTATTCCAGCCACTGCATTTCTAAGTGTATAACTGGAAAGCACCACAATCTGCACTGCTGCAGGCCAAAGGTGTTTGAAGATGACGTCTAGCCCTCAGCAAAGGAAAGACTTCTCAATACAGACTAGAGGTGGGAGGAGAAAACCCCCAAACTCTAGCTTTCCAATGATATCAGGATGTCTTTTAAACTAAATGCATTTCAAACTGCTATAATTATTATCACATAAATGGGAGAATGATTCTTAACATATTTTGAACTTGCTGCCACGAAGGCTTGAGGTCATTGTCCTTTAGTAGAATAAAAGTTATTTGTTTTCAAATTCAATGGGCTATGTAGTAATTTTCATATTCAAAGAATTCTTATAAACCTCAGTTTACAAACGCCTGGAATATTTCTTAATAGCAGCAGTAGTCTGATCTGATGTAGCAAAAAATGAAGTAGGTAAGATCTTATTTATATCAGCAGTGACATATTAAAATAAATCTAAGAACATTAGAAGAATCATCCTTCTTTCAGGTAGCATTTCAAGTTATTCCAGATCTTCTTCCCTGTCAACTGACAGACAAATATGCTACTTAAGATTTAGTTGTTGCCTACCTTCCTCCTTTGAGACACGCTGAGGGCAGCAAAGTCATTAAACAAGGATGAATTTGGTGAAGTCAGTGGATCTATAAAAAGAATGTAAAACCAGTATGTTATATATATATATGTACACACACACACACACACATATATAGCTATTATTTAAAGAAAATTTATACTTTTTACCTTATTTCTGTATAGATAAAAATAGTTATGACAAAGTTAATTGAAATGCTGCTTCTTAGCAGAATTCAGTGAGTTAAATTGCTGTTGACACTATTTAAAGTCCACCTAACATTTCAAAGCCTTCATCTGATCAGAAAACCTGCTGTAAGTGCTACTTACATGTGCATGTCATTTTTAATCCTGTAGATAATATAACAGAGTGTTTCTAATTCAGCAGAAGCTCCTCCAAATAGCGTTAACAAGCACTGGAACAGGCTGCCCAGGGAAGTACAGGAGTCACCATCCCCAGAGGTATTGTGTAGATGTAGCATTGAGGGACATGGTTAAGTGGTGGATTTGGCGGTGCTGAGATAACAGCTGGATCTATCTTAGGTCTTTTCCAACCTAAAGGATCCTATGATTCTATGATCTTCAGTTACCTGAAATTTGCAACCTTCTGTTTAATAGTCTTAAAAATAGTGATGTGGATTTTGCTTGTCTTATCATTATTCTGCACAAATTTAAATCAGAACCAATGGTAGTAAAAGTCTACATTCTGTTAGTAACTTTTTATTGCTTTTCTTTGTCCCTGTGCATCCTTTCCAGAGCTGAAGTACCAAAAACATGCAACTCAAAACTCCAAACTGCATGGATAGAGCTGCCAAATTAGCAGATGACTGCCAGTTGTAAACATTGGTGTTTTCATGAAACACTTTCTTCACCCATAATAAATACTCCATAAAAGGGTAATTCTACAAGTGAAGCACTGTTTGGCAGGGCCAGGGAGGAGGTGGGGAAAGGATCTGAGAGACATCAGAATTTAAAATGGTTTCCAAAAGTCAGTCTGGTTTCTCTCCTTCACATGCATCACCATCACTACTTGGCCTGTCACAATTAAACTAACTGCATTTAAAACTGGAGACCTCCAATGCCTTGAATAGCTAATTGTCCAGTGGGACAAAAGAAGCAGAGTTAATCTCAAAGGCTCCTGGAAAGAAACTAGGAAGAATAAAAAGAAAACTCCCACAAATTTTGACTTTCAAGCAAGTTCATTTTACAGTAGTTACTAGCATGCTTAAAAAATTATAAATCTAGTAAGTAGACTAGCTGCAGGGTCGGACATGCAAATGGAGTTCTAGAACATAATTTACACAGCAATTTTCAAAGAAGAAATTTATTTTAAATGTATGCCCTTGCCATAAGGGAGCAGTACCCTCTTCTTTGGAACTTAATTTGACAGCTACAGATGAAATAATCTGCAGTGATTCTGAAGAGGACATTATAAAGCTCAATATACCCTGCACAATAACTTAGTGAGTATGTAGGCTTGGACTATTGAGACATTTTGTTCAGTTGAAAACCATGTTCCCTATAGCAGGGAAAAAAAATATAAGATGTAAAGTACTGCTTGCAGTAGTTGATTTTTACCAGCTATTGTGTGACACATTTCACAAAATCCATACACCCTAAATTTAAGGGAAAACACCTGTACATTAATTCTACACAATAATTTACTCAAGAAGCACAATGAAAGGGATACTATGGTGAAGCAACATAAATGCTTAAGCTATCAGTGCTTTACAATGGATATCCAAACTAGCATTTCACTTCAAGTGACAGGACTGATAATGATTTTTTTTTAGTACTCCCCCTCCCAAGCAAAGAGAAGGATGAAAATTTATGAGCTCAGTACCACTTCAATTTTGTATTAAGAGTAATTATACACTATACTTTTGTTAAAAAAAAAGTTCTACTGCATCTCAAATCAAACCAGAGGACAAATAAAATTTCCTTAAGTGTCAATTTTGCAAAAGTGAATCTCTTAAATTTCCAAACGTACTTCTACATGTATTACTTTTGAAGTACTTACCATGGCCTGCGTACTGCTTGGCACTGTCATTGAGAAGGCTAGGGGAGCTGCTGCTATTTGTCATCCTCTGCAAAAATAAAAGACAAAAGTGTACATGTAAAATAAAACTATAAAAAGATCAAGCGAGGGCATTGGGTATGACATTTAGAAAGTTTTAAGAACAAACTATGAAACCTGTGCATTATTCACCATTTAGTAAATACTCTAAGTATATTAAAACAAAACACTATCTTCTTTAATTTCTTCTAAATTGGGAGAGTCTACCAAACCTATGGTTCTCTTCCTGCATGTTGTCAGAACATTAGGTAAGCCAATTACTTATCTCCTTTAAACATTCTTTCACACTGCACTCCTGAAATAACTCCTCCCTTTAAGATACAGTATCATCACAACATGAAACTTCCCCAACAAAAAATATTCAAATTAATTAAGTATTTGATAGATTCTTTTTAAAAATAAAAATGAATGCTGAAACCTTTCAGCAAAATCATGCAATTCTCTCAAGTCAGCAGGACATCTGAAACCCTCTCAACACTCCTCCTAGGCTCCACCTGCTTCTCCTACATTCCTCTAGAGATATGACCTAGCGATAAACTAGAAGAAGTGAAGCAGTGCTGCTCTAAGAGCTACTGCTGCTTTGACAGTGAAGTTTAAAAGTGTCTTCTTACTCCTGCTTATAATTCTCTTTGACCAGTTTTCCAACAGGAAGCACAAACATGAGAAGGAAAGGGAGGCAAGGTCAGGAAGTGTTCTTCATCACTAAGAGAGACAACAAGTAATTTGTTAAAATACTCCCTGGCAAGCTTTTGGCCCAAATCAACCCAGAATCTCCCAGCCAATTTCCAGGCACTATTCAGCAGTGAAAAGGTTTGAGAACCCTTCACAAATAGACAGTCTGCACTCAGACTCTGCTTTCGTGGGTGAGCATACACCAGCACAAACAGGCCATTTTGTGCCAGCTGGCCCTAAGCATCAAGGAAAGTTTCCAGGCAAGTTCAGTTTAGTAGTCTAGACACAGACTGACTCAAAACTGGTCACCAGAGTTGTTCTCTATGCTTACTTCTTTCCATGATCAGTCTCAATGTTGGTGGCAAAGGGCAAGAACTGCATTACTTCAATGCCATTTCATCTAATTGTTGACCAGAAAGATCAATATTCTGGAGTAATTTTGGCAAGAGAACAAACAGAAGCTGGAGTGCTATTCAATATGGCAGGACTGTAAACCTATGGCAATTCAAGTGTCTCAACATTTGCAGTTTTCATAGCACCACTAACTTCATCAGAAGCTGCAACTTTTAACACTCATCTAAAAAACCCAAATAGATTGTGCAGAGTAGCTTTTACATGGAATGTAAAATTTACACATGTAAATACTATGTAACCCTTCAGCTTCTTCAAGACTTGAAGGAAGGTGTCTGTTATGTGCTCTTTCCTTATTTTGATATCACCTGTCTCATGCTCCTAAATATACTGAACTTCTTTCTTACACAATGTAAATCTCACTAAAAGCTTAAGTGATGAACACATACTTTAAACAAAAAGCATGCCTCTTGTGAAACAAAGTTTACTTATTTTTACAAAAGATGGTAACAATTTGAGAGACTCACACTAAATTAACAATTTGGACAAAAGTCCAAATTCAGGGAAGCTCAACCTACTGTTCACCGTCATCAGAATAAAAATACACCAAAATCATTTCTGGATTACAGTAGCTCAGCTAATCATATTACATATTCCCTTCCTAAGCAATGGAAAGAAGTTAAATAGTTTTTCACAAATACTTGAAAAGTACATCTATTATGCATCTTCTTTTTGTCATTTGATACATCCACACTGATCCTCATAGAACAAAGGGGTTCAGGAAGAAATTTCCTAAAGGGAACCTTTCAGATTTGCACAAAATTTGTCCACGTTCAGATAAAGAGTATTAATGTCTATTTATAATACCAGATTTATTAATAATTTTAATGTAAAAGGCAATGGTCTGTCAAAACAGGAATAAATATGATATTGAGAACTCATATCAAAAGGTGGTCAAGGACATGGCTTAAACTTGGAACCAAGCACTTCTTTGCCATCAATATACTACATCCTTGAGTACAGGAATTAAACATTCAACCAACAGACTTCTAACATGAATAGTGATGTGACTGCGATGACAAAAACCAGCGCTGACATGATGATCACTGAAAACACACGGTGTGCGCAAGAGACTGCAAGAGCACGTTGTTCTGGATTGTGAAAGCACAGTGCAAACAAAGTTTAGGAACATCAACTGTGCTCTTACAAAGTCAAGTCTTGTTCAAGGTGTAAATGTTTTCTATGCGAATCAGGATTCCGAAAAACCAAAGCATGTCTCGCCACTCTTGGGCAGCTCTTGCCTTAACAACTGCTTGTACCTGGAATGAGGTTAAAGACCTCCACCATATTCATGAGTTTTTTGTTTTGCTCGCTTTTATTAGACACGCACAAGCTTCTTACCTTAACATTATTCACAGAAGACCTGCAAGTAATCAGTAAGGGATTTTTAATATTTTCACTGCACCCAAAAGCATTTAGCCATAATGTGTCTGATTTCCTAACAAGTGAGGCTGAAAAGGTCTTGAAAGAAAAATAAAAATTAGAAGAACACACAAGTACTATTGCTTATTTTTGTTTTCTGGAATGCAGCTTTGATTTTAAATAACACTTCTCAATCTCTTCAAATAGCATTGAACTATTTTTCATATAAACTCAATCTCAAGAAGAACACCATCACAAGCACCTCAGGCCCAAAGGATGAAAGCTCCACAAAGGTAAGAGTAACCATTAACAGTGGAAGAAAATTAAATATTACGCCTGCCAGGGAAGGCAAGTGCACCCATATGAGAGCTTCAGACTTTAAGATATCAAGACTTTAATCATCTGGAAGTTAATACAGAAAGACAACTTTGTCATAACCAACTACCACAACAATGTCGCTCAGTTCCAATAAGCTCCTTTCCTTTGGCTCCCTATTGCTATGATTTATTGAGGTTCTTTAAACACTAGTCAAAATTCAACTAGGCTGGCTAGAATACATCCTGCCCCTCTCCCTTAAAAGAAATTAGAAAGTTTTTTCTATTTCAGCCTTTCTTCACATGAGAGATGTTCCGGTACCTGCATCATCTTTGTGACCTTTCACTGGACTCTTTTCAGTATATCCGGGTCTCTCATATATTGAGAGTCCCAGTACTCCAGGTGTGACTTCATCACTGATGAACAGAAAGGAAGGATCACCTCTCAAACCATTAGCAGTGTTTTACCTCACGCACTCCAGAACACCACTCACCTTCTTCTTAATACTTCCTTGGTGCAGTATACGAGAAAGAAGTGTTACAAAAAACATTCCCACCTTCTAAAGGTATACACCACCTTGCCTCCACCTTTCAGTATTCAGTAGCAAAACCCAAAATTATAGTTGCACTTAAGACAAGTTTGCTTTACTTTTATTTCCCTCCACTAAAGTATATATTACAAAATTCTCATCAAGATAGAGAATGAATAAAACTTTGATGCAGACAAATTTAATTTTACATAGCTTAGAAGACTTAAGTGAATGCTTTTGCTTTTTTCTCCACCATTTCTTTTCCCCAAAATATGTAAGAGATAATATTTGTTTCTTTTTTCTCCATATTCCCTGCTCTAACTCTGAGAAAATAAACATTTTCCTCATGGTCATTCCTGTGCTAAGCCTGCCATCTCAAAATCTTTTGTTGCACGTCACAATCTATTCTCTTCATCTTAATACTGTTTTACTGGAACTTTATTTCAGAATATATTTTATAATTTTTAAAATAACGTTAATTGGACTATAAAAGAAGTTATCTTATGAAAGAATGAGATTGTCATAGCCAAACCAATTGTTTAGTTGTCAGATTCTGTGACCTACAAAGGATGATACCTGTTGCTTTCCAATATGCTAACTTGTCTTCAACAGTTAGCATATTTGGCACCATCTACACAGCATGTCCCACTCAACTGTTTGAACCAAAGCAACTGGATTTCTTCAGAAGGCATTATGAAAACAACTGCATAATTTCATATTTAAAATAAAATGCCTGTAGTTCCACTCAGTCCTCAACAGAAAAAACTGAAGACATTTACAAGCTTCTGTGTTATAAGGAGAGTTTTATTACTTGACTCTTGGTAGATGCAGCAGTGGCAACAAAGGTCTTTGTGTTTATTCAGCTGCAAGGCTTTGAAGTGAGCATGGTCTCTACTTCTCAGGCTATTCGAGAATGCTTAGTACACCAACATTAGCATGGTAAAAGCAAGCAAGACCAATTCTTCTCCATTGCTTGGCCTTGCCAACTTCAATACTGAAGTCTGTTACCCCTTTTTTATTTTGATTAGGGTGATTAAAACTTGTGATTTTTCTTTTCTGCATAACCTGCAGTCCACTGGAAGCTATGTAGTTATAAATCTCATCCCATTAAAATAAAGAAAACCAGACTTCTGTGAAGCAACACAGGAAGGTACCTTCTACTGTTTTATGCTCTTACAACCAAATTGCTCAATTCTAATACATTAAAAATTCTGACATCAAAATACTTCTCTGCCTCATCCTGCTATAATACCCTTTTAACAGCCCAACATAACACTACTAAAGCTCCTTTCTGCACCACCTGCACCTCTGATCAAGCCACAAGTTAGTCAAAGGCAGCACTAATGCCAGAGGAACACAGACACCACCCAGCCAAGTAGCACAAGCAGAGCGACTGAGCAAACAGCCAAGCATTAGAAGCATTCCATCCAGCCAGCTCTTGTCTCTTCACTGCTGGGAATGCCAAAAGCAATGAGCTGCTTCTTGAACCACACCTCTGACTGTCTCTTGGCAGCTGCTGCTATGCCAAAAAAAGAGAACAGCTTCAAGGACAGCATACAGCTATGGGCCATGTGTTGTGCAGGCCTGCTCTGTCATTAGAGAGGGGGAAAACAGAAAATATGTGCTTTGATAAGCTGGAAGGCAATACTGTTAATACAATATATGAAAGCATATGCAGATACAGGGAAGAAAAGATATGTGAAACAACACTATCATGGAAAACCACAAACCAATGAGGACAGAAGACTATTAATCAATAGGAAACTAAGTTACTAACAACAGAAGAAGACAATGGGGGGCAATGAAAGGCTGGCTAACAGCAAAGGCCTTCGTAGTAGGAGAAGTAGAAGGATGGGGTCAAGAGATATTTTTTAGAAAGGAAGAATTAGACCATGGCCACTTCAAAAAATTCTGCTTCTTCCTAATTGTACCACAGATTTTTGCTCTATTTTCCCCACTGCAAAGCAATCGTTGCCATTAATTGCATTTTTACCACTAACTTAAGCCCCATGGTATGTCCTAGATCTCATAAAATATTCTTCAACAAATATGAATGCAATCTCAAATATCCATTCTACAGAAATGTTGACCACTATTCATCTATGTTATTCATGATCAAAGCAGCACATTCACTCCCAATTCATCATGATACAATCCACTTTTACTTTTCTTCCTTTTTGTGCTTATTTAACACTATCAGTTTTAGAGATTAGGTACTGCATACAAAAATGTGATAACTGCAAAATTTAGATATAGCTTTGCTTGATGCAGTTTGACTCCATTACCTACACATTATGACAACTCCAATATATACAATCACACACTCAACAAACCTCTATTTTATGTGCTGCACATGACAATTACATTCAGGAGATTAAATAGGAATAGTCAAGACAACTCATCATTTGAATCCCTGATGATTATGTTGAAAGGTGAATAAAACAAGGAGTGCAGAAAAATTATCTCATGGTAATAGGAAATGAGCATTACCCAGAAGAGACTGACTTTATAACTATCTTTGCTAGACTGAGGCCAGTTAAGCAACTTGAACCAAGCTTCTACTGGTGGTCATTAATTCCATTCCCCACCTTCCAGCTGTAAAGATTAGTTTCAAAAACTCTGGAGTCTCTAGTTTGCCAGCACTGTTGGGGCATTGCTTGTTCAACTGCTATCCTTTTTCTTCCCATGCATCTATAAAATGCAAACTATTTTATTCTCTGATATGGGAAGTGTCCCACAATTTAATGGAATAATTGTAACCTGCACAGGAAAGTGCACTGCCAACTAACAGTCGTCAGAAGAAGTATGTGAACACCATGCAGGAATAAGGCACAGAACTGTAAGATGAACACTTAAATCGAATATCAAATGCATACTCATTACACACAGATGCATCACACATCTTCAGTACTGAACAAATTCCACTAATAATATTCCCACTGGAAAAAATCATACAACATTATGAGAAATATATCTCAATATATAACCTCAAGGCTGCACTGGCAACCTAAACTTACCATTTCTTAACATCTAACTGCATCTTACTAGTGTTTTTCTATCAATGTGTTTATTCACATGTTAGTGCAATTTCCCAATTTTAAAAACCAAGCTGAGAAAGTTGCCTCCTATTGCATCACCGAAGCATCTATTTGTGAACTACACAGAGCCACCAGAGATAACAAGGTAACTCACATGGAACTGATGCTTCCATCTGCAAAAGCAAAACTGAGAATTAATGAGATATTTTACAGAAGATGTCTGATGTTTCATTGATGGCAGAACACTAAATTTTCAGTATCTTTAGTTTGATTCAAGTACCTGGAGAGAAATAGGCACATGGATTTGTTCTCTCCACCCTACTTTGACCCACCTTTGCATTATAACAACTTTTCCTTGTTCAATTTCTGTGTATTTCACTTGAACAATTCCAGTCCCCATCCTGCAAGTGTCCCAGCAATGCCTCCCCTCTGCTTCAGTCCCTTTGCTCAGCCTTTCCTAGTTCTTTATTCATTTCAGCTAAGTTTCTCTAATCCCACAATATAAATTCTCTTTTCCCTTACAGACCCCTCTGCTCCAATTAACCCAGATGCAGCTGTCTTTCATTAAATATAGATCCATTTCCATGCTGCTTCAGTCTGAAGTGGAAGAAAAGAGGCAAATGAAGCAGATCAGCATTCCTGCTTGGAGTTCAGGCAAGGCTTAGATTAGGCCAGAGCTATAACTGCAAAAATGTACTCAAGCTGGAACATGCCAACACAGATTACATCTTTGGAAAATTATCTAACATCTAGGAAGTCTCCAGTGGGCCTATATAAACCAGTTTTGCAAAGGTTTAATCAAGTGACAAAATCTGGGCAGATTTTCAGAGAGAGCAAGCAAATCCTTTCTTTGGACAGGATTTGGACACAATAACCAATCTATCAGATTTAAAGTCTCTGTTCCAAATCATAAAGAATTAGTATTATTTAAAGTGAAATCCACTAAAATTTCTTCCTTGTCTTGTTCTCCAAAGGGCTGAATGACATGGAAAATCTCATTCCAAGTGACTAAACTTTGTTGGTATGGATTTAACTTAGTAGCTGACAGAATCAAAACAGACAGCATTACCAGTTTTACCTATGCAAACAAGAACTTAAATTATATGATTCAAAGGGGAAAAAATGATACAGGAATGCTTTTTAAACAGTAGTTTAATGCCTGTAAGCACTTTCTCAACACTAATGAAACCCTTCTTCAGAAGTAATTTTCCTTAGCCTCGAATGGGCAAGAGGGACATCGATTTCTTCTCAAAGAGAAACAACGCCTTAACTGTAATCTCACAGGCATTAGTATTTAAAAATCCTACGAGCATTCATGTTAGATGCATGCCATATTGCCTTTCTAGAAGAAAGAGATAAAATTAAAAAATTCTGTTTCTGTAGAATACACTTTAAGGACACAAAACAATGACTTTGTGCTAAAAATGTAAAACTTTATGACCTCAGTGATACAAAACATTTTTAACTGCCAGTTTCAACAGTACACATTGGGATCAGAGGTTAAAATTTTTCTTTTTAAATCATGCATCACTGTCAGTAAAACATTTCCATACTTTGGCAATTCTGTTGAATATGAAAGCCTTCTTGAAATAAATAAGTCTTCTTGAAAACATGCATTAAAAAAAAAAATCCCACAGTCAAACAAAAAAAAAAGAAAAAAGGGAACACACCCAATTAATTCCCACCTTTTGCTGAGTTATTTTTCAATCCATAATACAGCCACAACTGAGATCAAAGTAAGCTCATAAGGAGAGTTTCCTCGATATAAAAGAAGAGAGTTGTTGTCAGGACTCAGTGTGAACTATTTGACTTGTGCTCTCTTTCGTTTACCAGAAGCTGGTTTGTTAAATACAGGACAGATCATCTTTTCATGGACAGACCATGCTTCTTTTAAAAAGCATAACACTTTGAGGGACTTGTTATAGTACTTCATGTGTTAATTCCACAGATACTCATTTAGGTTTTAAATACAGTCTTTTGTTGTAAATTTTGCATAATACTACCTACACAATAAATTCTACTTCAAGGGAGTTCCTATGCCAACATCTACAGAACACGATAAATACAGGTAAACATCTCAGAAGATTTAAATGTGAATTCAACGTAACACCACCTGAGTCTGAGCTTACAAATTCTGAAATTTTTGCCTAGTGATTTCAGATTTAACAGTTCACATTTTGCTTCAGTAACTTTTGATCTTAGATATGTTTCAAAACCTAATTTGTATATATTTAATAAAAAGCTATCAAAAGCGATGAGCCTAAAAAGAAATCTAGGAGCACAGAGTTAATGTATGTGGCAAAGCCCGACACAACAGCTCAGGTAAGTGCTGATAGAGACTATTTTTAAAGCAATGATACTGTTTCATTTCCATTTGCAAGATTAAAGTGAGCATATACTCTGTATAAGATGACTTTTCAGAAGGCTCCATTGGTCCTGACTCTTGAACAGTTTTCCCTTTTTGGTGCAGCACCAGCCAGAACTAATGAAACACTATACAAATCACTGCTATTACCTGCATCATGGGATACTTCGTTTCAGCAGGACTTCCAAATCCATTAACGCCAATAAAGCTGGTGCTAAAGTAGGAATCTGTTAGATTAGCATCAGCTAACCCACCGCCATCTATTCCAGGAACTGGAAGGAAAAGAAACAGAAAAATGTTTCAGAAAAAAATTAGTTTACCATGGGCTTATGTGCTAATATCTCTTACATATTTTTTTGGCAGAGAGTAGAAGAGGAAAAGGTTGGTACTACCATCTCAGCAAAACAACTAGAAACATATTAGTGCACAGCATGAAAAAGAAAGTTTATGAAAGAGGTTGCTAAATGAGAGCATTTGTAGCATGAAGTTACAGCACAAATGCAGAAAGAGATGATGAGGAGTCTGAACTTCAGAAACAAGAATAGCAAGGTAAGTAATGATATAAAAAAGAAAATAAATGAACTAAAAAAAAACCTAGAAGGCAAGCTCATTTTATGAAAACCTATAATCTTGCATATCCTTCTTGGAAACATATTTGTTCAGGAGAGTTTGCGACTGGATGTACTGGTTCTTTTAAAGGGTAACATATAGAAAATGTACATTTCAAAATATCTCAAGCCCTTTCACAGAAACCACAAACATTTTAAATGCTTCCTTAAAAGCATATGACAATGTTCATTATTTCATACTTCATAAAGTGGCAACATTCTCATAAAATGTAGCCAAAAAAAAAAAAATCTTTCAGACTGAAAGCCAGCATGAAGGATTTAAGAAGAAATTCATCCCATCTAGAAACAAGGGCATGACATACAAGTACAGAACTTTTATAGAACTGAATTTTTTTTTTTGTTAAACTACAAAGAAAAAGAAGCAGTCATAATTAACACAAAAGACTCAAGCAGGTATTACTTTGATAGGAAAAAAAAGAAAAAAAAGTATTTGCAATGGTATACAAGCAGCAGTTCAAATCAACCTTCCATAAAAACACCCACATGGAATTGTAAAGACACTTATCACAATGGCCAGGCCACTGCAAGCCAATAGGCATGAGTAATGGGTAGCTCCAAGGTAGGAAGGCACACATCCAACACAGAACACCCTGTACCAAACTATCCAACTTGAACTTCTGGGAGGATTTGTAGCCAGAAGGTGACACCCGGAAACAACTTCCTGATCCTAACCCTCAAAGGAAATAAAATGCAACTTTGTGGCACAGCTAAAGGAATGCATATTATAAACCCTCAAGTTTCATCAGAACAGGAATTTTCCCTCCAAAGGAGCCTACATGACCTGGTAAGCTATTTCCATGCAGTAGGCAGAGGAAACAGCAAAAGAAGTACAGTCCTACATAATCACAGGAAGGGCTGGAAGAGAGAATGACTAGTAGCACACACACCACAGACGGAAACACTGCCCAGCTGCACTCCCCAGGACTGGAGCTGTATGAACCAGCCAACTGGGGTAACACCAACAGCACGTCAAATGAAGAGCTGTAAGTGAGAGATCAAATAAACTGAGATAAATATCTCAGTGGCAATACACGCCAGTTTTGCAATTCTTAAAGTACTACTGCCTAATCTAGAATATTATTTGTACACTTTGTAGGTTTGAAGGAAACATCTAAGAAACTTTAAAGATGCTAATTACCAACAAATTGCAACTTCTTTCTTAAAAAGTCTTAAAAGTTAGCTAAGATAATAGGAAAATAAAACTCCCTCCACTATCCATGCCCTAGATTCTCCTTCATAATTTTAAATAAGTAGTCACATAGAAGCTTCAGAAGTCTTCTTGCTACAGCCCTACGAAAAGACAAAACTTTTTGGATTTGTCTTTTAAACTTCTATTCCTCCTTTGCCTTCATTTGGGAAATTCACATTCGGAAGTTTAAGAAAATTATTTTATGGTTCAACTACTGTACCAGGGAAAATATTAATGTCTCCAGTAATGCCAAATAGTGTCTCATCCTATCCACTACAGCCACTCCCTAACCTACACTGTGAAGGTTAGTATCTTAACACAATCATTTTCTGGCATCGTGAAAATACTAAGACTCGTTCATAGAAGAAAATAAAAAGATAGTAAATTCATGTTTAATTGTAAGTAGTTTCAGTCTAGTTTGCCCATAAATTTTTCTGAGTTCACTGTGGTTTTTAATTATCGTAAAAAAGCATTTCCAATATAGCTTTCTCTGCCTGCACTTCAGCCATTATCGAAAAATCTCTCAGTTTTTATGCTATATCTTGACTGTAAAAGATGCTACCACTTGACTGACCAAGCATTTCCAGGAACAACTGTCATTTCAAGGTACACTACATAATTTCAACAGTGTATCTGTTATTTCATCTCATACTTTCGCCAGAAACTCCAGATTCTATCCAATTTTTAACCAACTGGCAAGCTACTTCCTCAGATGACACCCATCAGCTTTACCAATCCTTCAGGCTCTGTTGAAGAACTAAGAAAGACTATTCTTTCTACTTCTTTCACTGCTCCTCACTATGCTAGACTCAACACGAGAATCCATGGACCTTCGTTTCTCCATTAGACATATCAAGTTAACGCACAAAACCTTTCAAACTGGAAAGGCAAATGAGAATTTGGAAGTTTTGCCACACAGAGCAGTAAAGCATGTGAAGAGCCCTCTAGGTGCGAAGAAACCCCAGAGCTGACCTCCAGTAACTCGAGACCACTGGTACAGCTCAGTCACCCATTATTCAAACAAACCACTGGAGTCAGTGCCAGTAACCTTGCTAGGAGACAAATACAGCACCAGGTGCTCTGCTCCCACTCTGGATGAAGCTTCCTAAGTGCCAGGCAGCTCAAGCTGCAAGCAGGAGCAGGCTTTGGGAAGCAACCCCAGAGCTGAGCAAGGCTGAAGATGCTGCTGGGAATGACAAAGCAGATCTCTTGACTCTGTTGCCTTTCTACTGCTGGTACTAGTTATGCAAGCCTTTTCCAAGCCACTTAAAGCTGCTCAAAGCTACAATTTAGGCTTTCTGTTGGCACACTGATATCTAACTGGGCACTCCAGACAGCAAAAGCTACTCCAGAACATTTTCTTTATCTAGCAGCAGGAAGGCCATCTCTGTACTTAAGTGCAATGGTATGGCCATTCCAATCAGCCTCCTTGAGCCATTACTACAAACTGCTGTACTCCAGTACTTCACATTGCTCAATTCTACTGGTAGCACAGCAATTTCAAGATGGCTTTCAACTATGGCGATTTTCATTGTCCTCTTCCAAGCAGCTCAGAAACATGCCGCTAGCAGAGGGACTAAGACCACAAGAAAGCATATTCCACAGGAACAATCAAAAAAAAAAAAACCATCAAAAGTACACTCACTGGAGCAGAGGACAGTTTTCTTGGCAGTAGCTCATATTTAGAAGAGAATGCTGTAGAAGTGGTAAGCATACCTATTGCCTTCAAAAGAAAACTCAACACTAGCTTCCTCAAACTGACTTCCCAATAGTAATTAGCAAGAAAATTAAGACTGCAAAAAAGATGAAAAAAATTCCTGCATTGCCTATAGAACAAAAAGTGTGTTCGCTACATCCTCCATTTGCATTCAAAGAGGCATTCAGCTTTTACACTGTTCAAAGCCCAGCAAATACCTAAACAGCCAAGGTACTTTTACTGTATTTAGCACCTGGCCTTCTCTATGAGAAGAAGATGACTCTATCCTCCTTCTGTCAAACATTTGGCAAATCAGAAATTCTCACTTGCTTCTGGGAAGCCACAGTAGTTCAGAGCATGAATAAAAGTAAAATTATTTATCACAAGCAATCCATAAAAGGTCTACAGAAGTGGGCACACTTTACCACATGAGCAGTGAGGTATTAAAAAAAAATGGAAGCCTAAGCTGGAAGAAGAAGATCTTAGTCCTTATAAAGTTTTTATTCTCACGTGTTTACTAATTCACATTCAATTTACGTATCCAAATCTTTCCTATATAACAATTGCAAGCAACTTCCCAATATTTCACACACCATGCTATTAGAATAAAAAATAAAAAAAAAATTTCTCTTTTAAAGCATTGATTATAACCTTAGGTAAGTTTAGACAATTTTAGGTAAATCCCAAATTGGCTTTTCTTTTTAAAAAGGGATAAGCCTTCCTGTTGTGTAACAGTACTATCCATGCATTGAAGCTGTATATATTTTCAACAGGCTCTTATTGGAGAGAAGCAACAACTTTCTTATAACAGTAGAAAGGTTGACTAGGCAAGTCAGAGAAAAGATGGAAGTATAAGGGAAAAACTAAAAATCCGGTGGGGGGAAAAAAAAACCCCACGTTTTGTAAGCACATGTGAAAACAAGAACAAATTTCTAAATTCCATCAATATTAAAGACAGAAGTTACGTCCTGGCAAATCTGGAAAGAAACTAAATAGAACATCTTGAGAAATTCAGAATAGGTTTTCCATTCTTTATACACATATTATCTAATAAATTTCTTGCTTGGTGAGCAACACTGCAGCTTAATGTGACAACTGCAATTAAAAATAAATATCTTCTTATATAATTCCTCTCCCACAGAATTTCAGCAGAGAATAGGCTTCCCATCAGATGTACCCACCAAAGAGGAAAAAAAAAAGCATAGTTACTTTTGTCTTCCTTATTACAAAGACATTTTTCAGAAACAAAGTATCTCATCACAGCCTAAGTGCTTGAGTAGTACTATGATGAATTCATCATATGCGCTTCAACAGAACTGGTGGCTTTCGGTTAGTTTTAGTCTAACGCTTGTCTTGTCTAATACCAGCACTATCTGAATACTAATACTATCTGAAAAGATTGCATTTCTGATATTTTCATTCTGTCATTTCACTAAAGAGTAAACAAATACTGCATTATCCTAGACTGCTTCTTTTATGAACCTAGTTATCAGCACTTATCATCTCAGACACTCTTCTTAATATAAAAAAGCATCCTTTCTAGTAATGTGATATATTGCCCCCAAAATGAATGGGCTAAAGTAAGGCCACAACAGATCCAGCTGACACTTTTCAAAACAACAATTTAAAGACTTCTGGAAAGGTAACAGAACATGGATTGAAATAGTTCATTTTGCTATTATCACTGCTTAAAAAAAAATTGTACAATTATTTTTATGTTGGGTAAAAAGTTTATATATAATGTTGATTTAAACCCTC